CAATATTTGTACACGTTAAATATAAAAATATCCGACCGGGCACCGCCTATTCTCCCGAACTATACAATCGAATATATAATATATTGTAAATGACTTGTTTTTACTGTTAAACAAATGTTTACAAGCTGTACTTACAATTTTATATAGTGAAATAGCAATATGCTTTTTAGGTAGTGGACCTTTCTGTCGAAGAAATAACGATCTAAAAGTGACAAGATAATTAGAGCTTTTCCTATTAAGTTTGGTCACTAAATAGAATTAGACAAGAAAAACTAGATGGCGCTAGGATCAGGACTAGTGGTTGTTGTTATTTTGTAATAATTTGAAATATTTTTTTTTTTAAATTGGCAAGTTTGTTTAGTGACCGACCACGATAACTTGATAGCTGGACGTGTTAGTAAAGGAAATTTTAAATTTGTTTAGGAACATTTTCGGTTTCACTAATAGAATGTTTTTTTTTAAAGAACTGTATAAAATAAACTGATGTTTTTTTTTATAGAATTATATTATAAACACCATTGAACATTTTAGATAGCAACATCTAATCCCAAACTAAGCCGATTTTGTACCATGGATACTATATTATATATTTAATTCTTTTTTCTACACCATGCTTCCCTATTTCCAAATACATCTCTTATTAATTATGATTACAAATAAGATTATTTAAATACATAATGTGACAGTATATTAAAACGATTTCTACATAAGTACCTCGCATTTTTTTTAATAGATAAAGACTTTATAATAAATTGTAAGTACAGTTGAAATATAGAATTATAAAGATACGCTTCAGAGGTGCGGCAGCTAATAGAGTGATACGGTGTTCTTTATATTCGTAGTTTAGACATATTATATGTTACTCAGGTGTTGCTTCTTGTTCATATATATACTTTTAACGGTGCCTAAATTGTATTAAAGCTGACCTATAAAGATTTGTAATACTGTTATGTTCATACAACGTGTAGACATGTAACAATTCATTCTTTCCCAGTCAATATTTATAATATCCTGCTGCTTAGGGGGAAAGGGGTTGTTAGTAATGTAGACTGAGAATCCCATTGCTAGCAATATACCCAACCAGGTCGACCTCCTCGCGGTTCCCCCTGGAAACTATCATGGTTAATTCCTGATGAATTCATCATGATGGGCTAACTGGCCTGTTTTCATTCTCATCTATCACCCTTCTCTGGTGCTCCGTCAGCGTATCCCGTTAGCGCAGGCGGGGTTACCAGTACCATTTTCACCCATCCAAAAAAAAAATTATTCTGCTGCTATCAAACGCGAAAGCTTGTAAAAATATATGGATTGGTTTTTATTATTGTTTCACGTTTAAACAACTGTTATTGATTTATTAGCTAGCTATTAGGAGTGAGTAATATACCGTTTCAACCGTGAAGCAGTTGTGTTTGCATGGCTGTGTTTCGGTTTGAAGGATGGGATATAGCGTGAGTTTACAGGGTACAGAGGAATAACACCCGAGTACTCAGGAATGGCAGCGCATGGGGGGTATGGTGGCAAACAAGCTGACGGCCCACCTGATGGAAAGTGATAACCGACGCCTATAGACATCAGCAGTACCATGGACATAACAGAGTATACTGTTTCACCCATTATATCCCCCATGCGTTGCTATTCCTGAGGACTTGGGTGTTATTCCTCTGTACCCTGTAAATTCACGGCAATAATATTTATATATGACAGATAAATTTGATTAAAATTGCTTACACTGACTATCTTATCAAACCATTGTTGGTCCACGCCTAAAGTGGAAAAAAAAAACCATAATATCTATCCAAGTTACACAAAATTCTACCTTATGTAATTAATACTAAAGTCCATTTCTGCAAAAAAAGAATGTCTGGTTTCATGTCTGCTCTGCATTTTTGAGTGGTTTTATTTTATACTAGCCAGAATAGTTATAATTGCTTTTAAGAGGCCTCACTCGTTAAAAATCGCTACTATTTAAATTTTGCGACTTTTGTTATTATTATTTCATATAAGATGTGATTTCAAAACAGAAATTAGTATATTTATTGTCATTTATACACATTTTAATAATTAATTTTCCAACAATTTTTCTTTATTATTAATGCTTATACTTTGTTTAAAATTGTAATATAACTTATTGGTTGTCCGTATAATTAGATCATAAAATATGAAAAAATGCAAAATGCAGTTTTTGAAATGTGGTTGTAATATTGTCAAAAATTGTTCATTGTTAACGATTTATTTGTTAAAGATTGGATTTATAATGTTTTATTTTTATATTTTGAGGAATTTTTAAAAGATGTGTATCTTGTGTGTTTTGTATTGTTGAATAATTCATATATGCTTTTAATTATTACAGTGAACTATAGTTTTCCACGCATTATACGATTTGAAACCGAATAAATATTATTATAAAATGCATTACAGGGAGTCAGTGGATGCAGTAAGCTCAGGATGCCTGTGTTCTTATATAATAGAATATACTGGGACACCTGTGCAGATAAAAATTATAAGATCTAATTCCAGACTAAGCAAAGCTTGTATAATAACTAATGAATAACTGATATATATTTTAGTATATACGCCAAACACCAACACTATTAGGTCTCTTAAATTTGACTTTACTTACAATATAGATTTTTCAATAAATTAATTAAGCTAATAATAATAAATTGGTTCTAATCAATCTGATTATACTGGACTAATATATATAATTATATTTATTTTCAAATCGTATAATGCAATAACTTACATGGTAATGGCCTAAGTTCTTCCATTCGTTACCCAACTTACACTGTATAAGGTTGAAATATATTAATTTGTAATAAGTACATAATATTATAATTTCTAATTGGTGCGTCACGGAGTTACGAAATAGGGACCAGAGCGTATTAGTGATACATATGTATTGTGTACATTGTTTTCTGTGTCTGTTGTTCAAATATTAATTTATAAATTGATATTAAGTTTCGATCTGACGATCTAATCAGATACTAATGTAATTGCACTATTACCTATAGATATATGTACATAATCGGGTACAGCATCACAGAATGGTGCGTAAAACGCTTGTGCTTAAAATAAAATTAAAAAGATATATTCCAAATTATTTTATTGTTTTATTTACAAATATCACTTAAAATTACATTAACAGTTTTCGTTGATACGAACTATTATTACATTGTACAATATTCGTGAATATTGTACAATGTAATAATAGTTCGTGAAAATTGTACATTATGTGATCAATTTTGTACAGAAAAGAAGTTATTTTATATTGTGATAAAATAAACCTATATACGACTATATGTTTTTAACCCGGATTTGCACTAATCAACAATAGAATTGTCTAACAATGTGGCTACAGGCGATTAGAATTAATATCGGCGAGAAGTGGTTTTAATTTTTTTTTACAAATATCTAAAATTATCTGGATAAATAAGTCGGTCGGTGAAAATAAAAATTGTGCTAAAATAGTTTAGAGATAAGCAAAAAGGTTAGAATCTTCTAGACTCTAAATATCTTGTCTGTTAATGTCCTTTATTCAAAGCATAACCGTAAGTAATACCTACGATTCTTTAGTCGTCTGCTCATAGTACGCTTACACAGAAAAGTGATTTTGTGATATAAATGCATTATCACAGTTTTACAATCGACCTTTGACATTGACTTTTGACCTTTATTGCACCAATTAAATAATATACAAAATACAATATTTTTGGTTTCAAAGCAAATACTTATACTTAGAAATATAAGGCACTTATTGGAGGAGAAAGGTTTTTAAGTGACGATCCCGTATCAGCAAACGTAAACGTTTAGACCTTAGACTCTAAACGTAGACTTTAGTCCCTAGTTAGTTATAGAGCGACAGCCGCAATTGTATTGCAGGGAATCAGTAGGCGCAGATAGTTCAGGACCGTTTTGTATAGCAGTCTATTGTATGGAGTGTAGAGATAAGGAGAGCTACCTATTTCATGTGGGGGAACAGTAGCAAAAATGTCCAGCTGTAAGCTGTAAAAAACCTATTAATTAGCTAATTTAGCTGGAAAGTATAAGATGAATTTAACAGATGTTAAAGGAGTAAAAGTGCGTTAAGTTAAAAAATTTATAATAATATCTTTATTTTCTATTTAATGCATAATTAAAAGTTTATCAATAATAGATAACATTAATTATATTTTTCTCAAACATGCTTGGAAATGTGATCATTATTTTGACAATCTTAGAGATAAATCAAAATTGCCGTACTGGCCAAGATACATGCGGGCAGCGGCCGGCAAAAGTTGTATGAAAATTCATAACTGTCGTGTTTTGCGGCCAGATAAATTACTATGTAAACTCATATCTGTCCTGTAATTAAAAAATGGAATGACCTTTTACTTCGAAACATGGCTACCAAGGAGGTAACTAATACAAGGATTTATTTAATTTTCGAACTGGCTTGCAAATAGAAAGCTGTTTATTGAAAAAAAAAACAAGGGAACATTATGGCGCGTGAAAAATTATTATTGTTCGTTATTCGTCATTGAATTTAAAAAATAAAATTGTGTTTTTGATTTCCGCGCATTGTTTGAGAAAAGTACTATACAAGCCTTGGCCACAACTAGGCATTAATGGACTCACGTATGTGTGCCTCGGTTACACCTCGGCCCACATTTGTACGTTCGTCCATCAATGCCTCAGTTGCTGGCCGCTGCAGTAATGTACTATTGTATAACTGTTTTTTTTTTTTAAGTTTTTCTTTAAAAAGTACGAAGCAAAAGTTTTGCTCTCGTTTTAATTTACCCACTTGCTACAGTAGCGCCACCCTAATTTAACGCTTTTTGACGAACGCTTTCATACACAGAGAAGGTTGTCCTTACACCACGCCGGCATACACAGACCACCAGTGTATGCCGGCTCAAAACCCAGTCAGGTAGTTGCCTCCGGAGAAAAGGGGTTTACCCCGAGACCCCTACCTCACCCGCCTACACTATTAAGGCGGGCAAGAAGACCCGGATGATGAGGTTGTCCTTACCTCTACCCTTCAATCTAAGGGAGGCCTATGTTTAGCAGTGAAGTTAATAATAACAGCTGAAATGATGATGATGAATATAGTCACTAGTACAGAGTACAAAGTGCAAGTGGAGATTTACGTATATTCGATTAGTTTATATTTAAAACAACTGCGCCTCTAGCGGATAGTTTTGGAAACTTATGGAGAGGAGAAAGGTGAAATGCCTCGCAATATAAAATTGCTTGAAACATAATTTGCTTTCCATAACCCGCTTATGTAAATACACTTGTCCGTTAATATTACGCAGTTAGCATGAGAGGCCTATTAAATTTGGCGGATTATGTAAAGCAAATACTACTGTGATTCGTGTAAGGCTTTGTTATCTCCCGTTTCTACAGATTCAAAGCTTAGAACTCGTATTCAGAGACGATAATGATGAGTCTGGCGACCGCGCTGCCTGCGAACTGATCGTGCTGGTATAAAGACATGGTGAGTTCTAATTCCACAACCTGTGGACCCGGCAGCGAGCACAGCAACGAAATTAGGCACATGTTGTTCGTTGGCCGCATGCTGTTAAAAAAATTAAATTAGAAACTTTTAAATTCATTCCTGAGGTACAAGATGGTACAGGTAAAATCGATATAAATAAAATCTTACATTTTCACTAAACAAACAAGAATCATAAAACAAGAAAAATAAATTTTTTCTTGTCTTATCAGCCTTCTATACTATTAGGCTTAGTACGAGAGATTCAATATTTTATGGCATTTTTTATTATCAAAATTTCTATATGTATGTTTGCATGGATAGATTATATTTTACATACAACTAAAGACTACAATTTCACTTGTATATTCTTTTTTACGAATTGGAAAGGCAAAATCACGGCACGAGTGATGAATAGCGATAATAATCGCCTATAGATACGAACAGTACCACAGACATTATAGAATATTGTTTTTGATCACGCATGAAACCCTTCATGTGTTGTCAGACTAAGGCGTTATGACCTCCGTACCTAATAATTTAACTACACTCTTATCTAGAATGCAAAAAACGAAATTTCCAGGATGAATTATAAATTACGAACTATAAATATGAATTACGTCTAATTGTTAACCGTATGTTGACTTAGCATATCGTAGTTACGTTTCCTAACATATTAACGTTACATTATAACCTATAGAAAAATGGGTACACTAAGATTTGTCTTTCTTTCTTTGTCGATCTTTTGTCTACATAGAATATACAATTCATTTAATAAGTCCGAAAATGTGTTTGTTACACTTTCACATCTAAACCGCTGAATCAATTTAGATGAATTTTGGTATATAGATAGATGGAATTATGAATATGACTATAAGCTTCTTTTTTTTCAGTTAGTGAACATATCTCAGTCACACGAAGTCGTGGGTAAAAGCTAGTATGTACGAGTATATAAAAATACTTATTGTATCCTTACTAATATTATATTTATTTATTATAATATAGTGAGTTTGTTTTTACCTCATGGCGATCAATTGTGATGAAATTTGACATATTTTCTCATATTATTTTTATGGAGAAGAGCATGGACTATTGCTTATTCCAATCAATCATTCAATCATCTCAGTCTAGCAAACGAAGTCGCAGATAAAAACGAATTTTCTAAAAAGTTTAAAGAACGTATACTCACTCGAAACATGCCAGTTGTGCTGGTTCAATAGAGCGCGATGATGACTGCGAATTAATCATTCTTAACTCGAATGTCACCACGGAATCCCTCCATGCGGGGCCGTGCATCGTGAACAAATCCACCTGGATTGGTTTTATGGAAAAATTAAGGTAACATTTTACATTGTCCTTCATATCATAATGGCATAGGAATAAACATGTACCTAGATATTAATTTCACGATGATGATACCAGCCGTTTGCTGCTGATTGTTGAACATAGGCCTCTTTCTTGGGGGGATTTATTTACACTTAATGTATTGTATGTTAATAAACTTAGTTATAAATAGGTTCAGATTTACGCGAAGTGATATAAAAGACAGTCTTATCTCTAAGCAACCTCTTTAAACAGCTTTTAGGATATATAGATAAATATAATTGAACAAATAAACATATACAAACTTAATCGCACATTATTATATACAATATTTTTATATATGAAGATGGAATGATGCATTCGTCTATGCTAATGGTATAAAATGGCGGGGCACCAGTGGAGGATAAAACGTTGAGAATGAAGGCAGGCCAGTTAGCCCATCGGGACAAATTTACCACAATGGTTGCCAGAGGAGTCCACGTGGAAGTTGAACTGGCAGGGTATATTGCTAGCAATGGGAAGTAATATTCCCATTACTAACAATCCCGTCTTGTATTATTAGGTTTTTTATTTTTTTATACAACTTAAAATGGCAAACAAGCTGACGGTCCACCTGGTGGAAAGTGGTAACCGTCGCCTATAGACATGAGCAGTACCGTGGACATAACAGAGTATACTGTTTCGCTCATGATACCCCCCATGCGTTGCCATTCCTGAGAACTCAGGTGTTATTCCTCTGCATCCTCTCATAAGACTGCATATTTATATTTATGGTTATAATATTTATTGTTTATTGTCGTTAGGTTAGCTAAGAGATGCAGATTCGAATTCCGTCAGATTCAGCAGTCGTTCATCTAACAGCAAAATCTATAATAGTTAATATTCTCAAATCCAAAGCAATTTGAAAGTGTTTTGAAATACATATAATATTAGTAAATTTTATATTATTGAGTCTTACTTATTATAAATACAACGAAACAATTACTTATAGTAAAAACTCACCCTTCCTGAAGGCATATAGATGTTCGCTACAAACGTAATAAAATTGTAGCTGTAAGCGCTGGGCTGTTGCAAGCACGACCAGTCCGATATCGGACACGTGCGCTGGATTCGAACGCATCGGCTGAAAATATAAATAAATAACATATAATACTTGCATCTTGTTGGTTTTTGCGTTTTCTTTTTATAATACTGAGTTTTTCTGATTGGCTTTCATGACATTCATCAGAAGATGAAATATAAATATTTTTATTCTATCACCATACTGATCCGCTGCCAAGCGTGGCAACGACTGGCAAAAGCCTCTCTTATGGAGGAGGCTATGTTCTCTCTCTTCAGTCGTACACTCTTGACAGAGCGGTCGTGGTTTTTATAATGATAATGGATCGTCAATGAGGCTCTCCTTCACGATTTAGGTCCTCGGAATGTGTCTCCATCTACTTCTGTTCACAGCCGAGCGAGAGTATTCCACAATAGACTGCTGTGTGGCAGTTTTGATGGACAATCCCCCGAACATGATCTCTGAATCTTTTTAGCCACTTGTGGACGTTACTTTTTTTAAAAATTTTATTTCTCGGCCCCCTTCTCTGAGGTCAACGGCCATTCTTGCCGAGTTTCGAGAGAAACTTGATTACGACGCGCTTCCATCGCGTTGGTGATCTACCCCAAGAACGTTTGCCTTGTATAGTTCCTTGGACAATTACACGTTCCATACAATCTTCATTCCGGATGGTATAGCCGAAGTACTTGAGAATTCGTATTCGAATAGTCGGCGATAATCTCTCTGATGTTCAGCAGTGGACAATTAACGGCTGATACGACAACCATACTGACAAATATAAATATTGGGGGAAAGGAATTGTTATTAATACAAATTAGCGACCCCACTACTTCCCATATACCCTATCAAGTCTGTTTCCAAGCGAACCCCATCCACAACCATCATGATTAATTCCCGGTAAAGTCATTGCGATAGCCTAATTAACTTGACTTTATCCTTACCTATTATCTCTCACTGATATCCTATAAGTGTAAACCAATAGCGCATGGTGTTACCATTTCATCATCATCATCATATCAGCCTTTAACTATCCGTTGGTGAACTTAAGCCTCCTTGGGGGTTTTTCCAGTAGTTGCCATACTTGGCAGACGTATTAGCAACCGCAGTTAGATTTTAGAGATGTTTTAAGAAGGACGCTGCTGCCCATTCCTCGCCATCCCTTAGTCGCCTCTTACGACACCCACGGGAAAGGAAGGGGTGGCCTATTTTATGCCGGGACCACAAGGTGGTCACCATTTGATCTCTGAAAAAATTACGGAAGAGGAAAGAGGATTGGTAATGACGAGAAATAACAGCCACCTAGTCTAACCTGATCTTCAGCTACCATCCCTCACTGGTGGCTCCTTGGCTAGTGAGGCATGCCAGTCAGAGCGTCAATGGAATACCATTCCAGTTAAAGAAAAACAACAGAAGGTTACCGTCTCCTATATGATTTATTTACTTACTGCTTGGATTCTAGTCTGTAGCCACTCGGGCATTCGATGCGATGGCAGTGGTAGCTGCCACGGGTATTCTGGCAGACATCACCTGGTCGCTTAGAGTAAGCACACGTAGCTACACCTGTTTCGCACTCGTCGATGTCTGAAAGAAAATGTATTTAAAAAAATACTCTATTAATTCATTATAAAAAAAAAAAATTATAATAATGTCTTTTATTTGTAAGGTGATAAGGTATATTACCAAAATTGCCATTATCATTTTTTGGATGTTATAAAAGATGACTAAGAAGAGCAAAACAAGAAAACTCAAAATAAAACTCTGTATGAATATGTCTGGCCAGTATCGTAATCCACGTGGATATGATGTTAATATACTATACTATATATAATATACACGATGTTAATATACGTATATATCGGTCACAGTGTTTTTTTTGGGCAAAGAAAGGAAAAAGGGAAGAACAATATTCAAAAAAGGTAGATAAGAATAATTTTTTGATCTGACCTATTCACAAGTATGACAAATGAGCACTGCCTGAATGGTCATACTCGCGAACAAGTGTTACTTAGATGAGACTGTTTTGGTTAACTATAACAGATAATACCTAGAGGGAGACTTTGTACAAAAGCCGATTGCTTGGGTACCTCTGATTCGTGTTTCAGCCGTGAAGCAGCTGTGTTTGCATGGCTGTGTTTCGGTTTGAAGGGTGGGATATGGCGTGAATTACTTAGATGAGGCAACGCATGGGGGTAACTGTTTTGGTTAACTATAACAGATAATTTTAATATTTTAAGGTTCCATAATCAAATTACTACAATTTCGTAATACTAGTCCTGTGTCTCTATATGGCACAGCAACACAATTCCGTGTTGAATTATTCCGTGACAGTCCTTAGTTCCCACCTATACAACTGTTGAGGTCGTCCCCGAGTTTGTAGCCAGGAGGGCAGGAGCACCGGTAGCTGCCCGGCTCGTTGACACACTCGCCGCTGCAGAGCCGCCCTCGTAACCGCGACATCGACCACTCCTTGCATTCATCCACGTCCACACACGTCCTTAGACACAGATAGAAGAATTAAGTTACAATCGAGAAGACGAATATAACTTCTGATTTAATATTAACTAGTTTTTAATTAAACAATAAGCTATGTATGTTCACTGTCGAAGTGACCTAACTTATTATAGACTTGCCATTATCTGCTGCTTTGGACCCGTGGTGTCATGTTTAAGTTGATATATTTAGAAATCCTTTCTTAACTTTATCTTACATTATAAAATAATCGTATGGTCCAAACAGCTTCCTAGACTTAGTAATTAATGTGAATTAGGACAAATGAATTTATAAGTAAATTTAAAAAAAATGATTACGTAAATTGCTCTAATACCTGTTATTAGCGTCCAGCCTATATCCCCGTTTGCAGTAACAGCGGTACCCTCCCCACGTGTTGGTGCAGTCGTGCTCACAAATACCAGGATTCTCCGTGCACTCGTCAATGTCGACACACACCTTGTCATTTGAGGGTGCATTACGAAAACCTTCGCTGCACTCGCACCGATACGAACCTACTGTATTGACGCATTTACCGTTGTACGAACAAGGCTGTAACGTAATGGAAAGATGTCATTCATATGATAAGTATCACGAACATGATAAAAATATTGAAATGATTTTCAACAAATGTGATTTCTTTATAATTTCGGTGAAGTTTTTTGGTCTCGAGTCTTTAAAAGTTAATGTCCCCAGAAAACATTTTATAAAATGTCTCCTTTTATAGTTCGGAGATAATAGTTTTTCTGGGCTATAGAAGTTGAAAGAGTTCAAAATTGGATAAAGATTGTATTTGCTGAAAATCACACATTTGAATTTTACTTCTTTGACAAAAAATAATTACAAATAACATGCTACTAGTGGGTATGAGTAACCCTCTACAAGAGGAAGATTTAGCTTACTAAGCTTAGGTTACTAGCTAGGTGATTTGATGTAATATTTTACTCAGATATTTTCTTCCCTTGCACAGGTGTATTGTATTTTGTTCATTTAGTTGTTTCTTACATCCCAGGGGATAAAACAAAGCACGTCGAAGCGACAGCTTCTATTGTTGTTCTTATGATATATAATATGTGATATAGGTAATTCTGCGATCATTTAACCATCTATTCACAACCTAAGTAGTACGGATCTCTATCCATAAGAGAATGTAACCTACTTTTATTATCCAGGGGATTTAAAATATGGTTTTATTTGATGCTTTCTTTCTCTTAGTACTGTACTTCTATCACTCCATATATAAAGCGCTTGATGTACGGCATCGCCCCGTTGTGTGTGATTGTGAGTCAAGCGTTTTTTCACAAAAGGTGAGTATTCAATTCTATAATGTGTACTCACGGATCCATAGTAGCACTCGTCTATATCTTCGCACTGATCCTGCCTGTTGTACAGCTTGTGTCCTTTGGGACACTTGCATGAATACCCGCCGTAGAAGTTCTCACATGTCTGCTGTGGCCCACATTGGGACTCGTTTCTAGCGCATTCGTCGATGTCTGCATAAAATATACTTCTTTTTATATTAAACAATAAGTCACAAGGTATTTTAATTGGAGGTTGGTTAACTTTTAGACAGACTTATCTGACTATATATGTGATACAATTTTGCCTATGTGTTCTATATTTACGAACAAAAAGGTCATCGAGATATGCTCATTAACGCCAATCTTCTAATATTAAAAGGCGATTGTGGTCACTGCTTACCATAAAACAAGAAAGTTTAATAATCTTATCGTATAATAAAAACAGTTTTGTAAACTTTCTTTAAAATGTTTGTTTCATAATAAATTACAAAAACCAAACGTAGTTGTAATTGATACTTGAAGGCTATCGAAAATAGATCTAAGTAAAATACATAATTCCTAACTGATTCAACAAGAACTTACCAATACACCGTTTGTCAGGAGTGAGCTTATAACCCCAACGACACGTGTATACGCTCCCATAGTTAACTCTGGAGTAGCCGGCTCTCATTTGGCGCGGACCTTGTTGCCCATACTGTGCCCCGACAGTAATGGTGTTGATGTCGTCATCAGACGCAGGAGTAGGGTAAGTCGGTTCTGGCCGCGGCTCCCGGTTTGGTGATACAGGATAGTAAACTAAACAAAAATATTCCAGCATCTGTACTTTGGGAGAAAACTTAGCGAAATCGACATCAGTTATTTGTGGTAACAAATTTATATTTCGGTGTGGTGCGGTGTGGTGACAGCTCAGGCGTTAGACGGATGATATGATCGAACATATGATATGATTGCCATATAAAAAAAGATTATCACTTACATCGTGCTTCGGAGGGCACGTAAAACCGTTGTCCGGTAAGTGGCCTGCACGGCAAGCGAGCACGGACCGGAATCTCTCGACACCAGAGGGCGCACCCCACACGTACAGTAGTACCTAACACCGCGTCCGCACATTGAACTATGTCTTGGAACCAAGCTTGGCTCCAAGTTATCGGTATTGTAATCAGTAACCAATTGTCCAAGATTGATTCACATACGAATATGAATTTTGTGGCTCCAAAATTTGGAGCAGATAGGTCCAATGTGTGGACGCGGTGTAATAGTAACTTGAATTTCCCACCAATCATCGGTCAATATTGTTTCAATTAATTCGAAAGAAGGCGTCATGTCTGCTTCCACCGCGTTGAACGGCGAAATATGGGCAACAAAAAATTATTACTAACTACTCTATGTGAAATAACAGTGGTGATCATATTTTAATCCGACTGTCCAAAATCAATTTTTGGAGTTAATTCCCAAATCGATAATTCGACCTGATACTTTGTACTCTGCATGTTGATCGGTAAATTAAGTTTTTAAAATTGGATTTAAATTGCTTATTATTATTTCCAAAAACCATCCTTTGCTAAATATCAGTTTTTAAAGACAATCCTATCATAGTCAACACTTAATCGACCCTTTGATAATTTTTTGTTTTTGCTACTTCATCCAGTTGAGTTGTACATTACAGTTTTCTGCACAATCACTTTGTAAAAAGCACAAAATTGCCGAATAGATAAGAATCTTTTTTGGTTCAGATTTTTATTAATAGCGGAAAAGAGGTAATTGTGGCAATTCGTGTTAGTATATGAAGTAAATATCTATGTCCTAAAATAACTTAGTATATTACGCTTACCATTAGGCCCCTCGTTCTCAGCTCGACATTTCTTCCCACATACACAGTTGTATCCACCGTTCACATTGACGCACTCCTCATTGTGAGAGCATGAATGTTGATTTCTGGCACATTCATCAACATCTGTTAAATATAACGAAAAGACATATTTAATGCAGCTACCTATTACGTTTTAAATTAAAAGACCTTAAAACTTTCTAGTTTAGAAGCCATTAATATATATAATATATAATACGAGTATAAGGAACTCTCTGGTCTTTTCTTTTTGGTCTTTCTTTCTAGCCTCTATTCTTTTTTTAAATCCAAAAGGATATATAATTTTAGAAAGATCTAAAATTATAGTCCATTAAACATTCAACTTCAACATATAGGTTACAGGTAATTAGAAAATATCTGTTTCATATAATACATAGGTGGTGTAAGCTCATTATTATGATTTTGGAAGTTCCTTATAGCCTATGTTGTAAATTTCCACTAAATAAACGAATAATTATATTACATATAATCTTACTTTTACCTTGTGAGTTTATTATTATTTATTACCACGTATCGAAAATAAAAACATAAATACATAAGCTGGAAGCTACAACAACCAACTCCTTTCATATGGCATAATTAATAGTATTTTGTAAAATTTATTTTAAGAATTATATATAATTAATTACCAACACATCTTCCTTGCTCAGAACTGTATGTGTACCCGAAGTCGCAGGTTACAGGCGGTGGCGAGTAAGGGCGAGGTCTCGGCGTATACCGCCAACGAGGTGTCGTGACTGCTAAAAACAACAAACATATATCATATGAGATATTTACACCAGAAGAAAATCAAAGCCGGTAGCGCCTCTGGACAAATTTTTGATGAACAGATGGAGAAGCGACAGAAGGTCGACTCTTTCGGATGGGTTTTTATGGGTGAAAATTGAATACCAACGCCTATATGCCCAAGAGCATTTCAGCGTCTCAGACCTCGGCTTAGGCCCCGTACTTCGATTACAGATGCGCTAAGTTAGACTGATTTGAGGACTTTACTTACTGGGAACTCATTTAGTTGAGTACTATTGAGTACTTGTGTATAGACTCGAAATGCGATAGTACTCGAATACAGGATTTGAATACGATACTCGAATACTACTCGCATCTTTATCGTATTTTTTAAGTTTTTATTTTTGTATCATAGTTACAATATGTTTTTTTTTTTATCTCCAAGGACAAAATCATTAAATAACTGAACATTTGAGTTCGATGTTTAAAAGAAAAATGTACCCCTGTAAAGTAAATACTTTGCAGGGAGTCAGTGGATACAGATGGCTCAGGACCGTTCCATATGGTATTCTATGGAGGAGGCCTATGTTCAGCAGTGGACGGATAATGGCTGAAATAATGATGATGATGAGCATTTATTGTTTTCATTCATCAAAACAAGGTTCTAAAATCAATCGAAATAATTCTCGAGTAGGATATAGAAAGTGCTTCAATATGAGTATTGGTATTATAAATATTCGAGAATTTGACCAAGCGCTCAAGATTGAAATCATTATTTGATTATTTTTTAAGTTAAAGTCGTAAACACATTACCTGTCGTAGTAGACTCAGTTGTTGTTCTGGCTGTAGTGGTGGAAGTGGTAGTAGTGGAAGTGGTGGAAGTGGTGGTAATGGTCGTGCACCAGCCGGAGGCATCCCGCTGGAATCCTGGTATGCACTCGCAGATGTATCCACCGTCCCTATTCACGCACATCTCCAGAGAACTGCATACGTGCCGGTTCGCTTCACACTCGTTCACGTCTAAATTGAATACATGGAATAATATCAAAATACTAAATAACTAACAATCGATATATCAAAATTTAATTCCATAAAAAAAACAGTTAAATAGTGATAAAATTAAAATGGGACCAAATGAGAAAAGCAAAATAATAAAAATAGATTTAGAATTGATGACTGATGACATGATATATACAATAAAGATATACAATTAACGTGAGAACAGTTTGGAGTCATATTTCAGAACCCCCAGATCAGAGTTTGGAACAAACCGAAGACCAGAAAACCGAATTTTGGATTTATTCATAAAATCAACTTTCTGACTACCGCGTCGTTTTTGACATCGGTTTAAAATGATTGTAAATAGAGAAAAAAATTCTTGTTATTCTTAAAACTAACCTACGCAGTTTCCATATTCATCCCTCTCGTAACCATATAAACAATGCAAATTGTTTAGGTCTATATCAGGATTAGTTTCATTCGGTTTCGGAGTAGTGGTAGTAGTAGAAGTAATAGTAGTTTCTCTCGGCCTATCTTCAGGTCTCATGCGATCTGGTCTTCTTGGATCATAAGGCCTTCTAGAATAACTAGGCCGTCTTGGAGTAACATCCGTTGAAGGAGCCTCAGGTCTTGGTCTATCTTCAGGCCTCCTAGGCGGTTCTTCTGGCACATCTTCAGATCCCCTTGCAGGTTCATCTGGTCTTGTCGGTCTATCTTGGGGCCGGTAAGGTCTTCTTGGGGTAGAAGTTGTGGGTCGTGTGTAAATAGGTCTTTCAGGTTTATTAGTATAAGGAGTACTGGATGTAGTAGGAGTTTGAGTTCTAGGTGGATAGCGACCGGGATACGGAGGTAATGGTCTAGTAGGAGGCGGTCTAATAGGAAATGGTGTAGTAGACGTAGTTGTCGTCCTTGTTGTTGTTGTTGTTGTTACTGGTGTAGTAGAAGTGGTGGTTCTAGGGGTAGTGGTGGTTCTAGGGGTAGTGGTCGGTCTAGGTGTTGGTCTTGGTATGGGTCTAGGTGGAGGTCTTGTAGGTCTAGGCGTAGTTGAACTCGTAGTTGGAGGTATTGGCTCAGTTTCTCCAGTTTCATAGGTTGAATTGTCTTCTCTGAAATAAAATAAACGAAATATTTTAAATAATGACCAGTCGTTTACTAGGTTTTATTAGGCTTAATGCTTGTTTGCCACCTGCGTGGTATAAATAAGAAATAATTGATACTTCCATGATATTAAACATATTTTTTTCTAGATATACATATATCTTCAATTTTGACAAAATTAGTATAAATAAAATAATCCTGAAACTCAAATCTTCAGTTATAAAAAAAAAAATATTAAAATAGGTCTTAATTATTGAAACTAAAGAAAACCAGTATAATTTTCCATTTTTGAAGGCGGTAAAAAGAAATCGATTGCAAATAAATTTAATTCAGTTGTATTTTGATTTGTTGATGTGCATGCACGTTGTCTTAGGTAATTCTAAACCGATTTGAATATATTTATTTCAAAGAATTTACTTCCATGATGCTACCGTTTATTTTTCCTCTAAAAAAAAATAATCCTATAATACTGAAGTTAATATATATATATATATATATATATATATATATATATATATATATATATATATATATATATATATATATATATATATATATATATAAAGACATAGAAACTTACTCGGAATAGTACTCGTAGTCTGATGGTGAGACAGTGGTAGTCGTGGTACTGGTGGTCGGTGCCCGATGGGTACATATATACGAGCCCAAAGTGTTCAAGCAGTACGTACCCGGGGAACAGTTGTCCAACTTCAATGAACATTCATCAACATCTGGAAGACAAGTTAGATACTTTATCTGAGTTTAGATCAAATGCATTTAGATAGAGCGACCCTTTAGAAATAGTTGGGAAGTAGTTTAATTTTAAAAATTCTTCTCAGTCAAAGGTCTTTTTCCTGTCTTAAATTTTCGTAAAAAGTTGCATAATCTTGGTTTTTTGAGTTATGGGAATCATGGGAGTAAAAAAATCGATTGCAATGGAATCTCGTAATATAGTCATAAAAACAATCAGTTTAAATTAGTATATAGAATCCTCCATTTATAAGTCTTTTAAAAATCAATTAAAGATCCTCTTAGAAAAAGAATTTTATATAGTTAAATAATTGTAGGTATTCATTGCCTCATTTATAAGAAAGTCCTGTTTAACTTTACCTCTCTTTTAATATGTAATTGTTAATTACTATTAGATACCAACCAACACAAGACCCAGATGATGGGTCCAGTTCGAAGCCGTTCTTACAACGACACTCGTGTGCACCATAAGTATTGATACAATTCTGGAACTCATCACATAGATGTGTACCTTCTCGGCACTCGTCTATGTCTGGAAATATAAATTAATAAATAGTCATTCGATCACAGGTATATGCGATGGTGTTCAAGCATGTGAATCCTTGTGATAGACTTTAAATAACATTTACGCCATATAAAAAACTAAATAACAAAGAAGTTAATGAATGATTGAAACCGAATAATTTAAAAATATATAAGATTAAATCTGCCTATATTCACAAACACACACACCCACACACGTGCACACGCACACGCGTACACGCACAGCACGCGCATACGCATACCGATATTTTTACTTGTGACGAAATAAATATTTTCCATTTTAAAGCGAGACTTTATCTCTAAAAATAATAAAAAGAATCAGGTCATTTTCATATTAAGTTTTCGGTGGTTCCTTAGTAAAATAAATTATAACTAAGTAACAAATCAAAATTTTTATCTCAAAGATAAATTCTATTTCATTGTATTATTTATAAATTTAGGATAGAGACTATTAGCTGGAATGTAGAGTACTTCTTACGGTTACGATGGTTAAGTATTCTTAGAAAGGAAACCTGTGGACTAACCTTCGCATATTGTTCCACCAGGTCGCATTCTGGTACCCTCTTGGCATGTTTTTGTTGCAAGCCTAAAAACATACCATAATTACAAAAAACTAAGTACCTATAGTATAAAAGTAATGTATTAAATATGCTTACAGAAGCTCAAATAATTATTACGTTACTTGGGCAGTGTGCTGATCTTAGACTTGCAGTTGTATGCGCCTGGTAAATTGATGCACACTTCAGTACGTTTACACACTTGCATAGCATCTTCGCATTCGTTTATATCTGTAAGTAAATACAAACTAATGACTAACTTGCAACATAACATATACCATATAAAATATAATATAAAATTAACATACAACAAAATTATAAGGCTAATTTAAAAATGCAAGAAACTGTAGAAAATCTAGGTATAGTTGATATTTAAAAGATTAAGATAAAACTTGAAAGAGCCTAATTAAAAATTATTCAAAATAAGGATTTATCTATTTATAAAAAACACTAACCAAAACCTGTGGCTTCGAGTGTGATCTGTCGTGATCGTAAATAGTTTATAATCTTCAAGTAGTTCCAGAGATTGGCAAATTCTAACAAGGAAACTTCCGATTTGCTATATCATAAAACTAATATAATAATTATAATAAATCATGTATATATAATAATAAAAATATATACAATAACATAATAAATTATGCACAATGAATAGAAAGAGGCAAAGGAGAAGAAATTCAAAGAAATACCTAGATCTATAGTGAATAGTTGCATACCTTCGCATATTCCAGTAACATCGTTAACTTTGAATCCTGGAGTACATCGTTTGGAGACGTGGTCCTGACAGAAGAAACTGCCATGAGTGTTGATGCAATGTTGTGACAGACGTTGACAGTCGTCCAAACGTTCTTCGCACTCATCGATGTCTGAGGATTATTTTATTTTTGTATAAGTTCTTTTAGACTACATTTCATATGTATCAATTGTAGCAAATTATAGGATTTAATTATTTTTAGTAATTAAATATTACAGAGCTATTACATTATACAATGGAACATGAGGTTGAAGAGAGAATACGAAAGTACCTATAAACCATGTGAAAACCCATGGGTTAAACTGTGAGCGTAACCAGGTAGAACTTTGTGATGTCTATGTTACTCTTCATATTTATAGACAATCATTCCAAGTCGAATAAAAAAATCGATGTTGAATGAGTATATTGTTCTGTGATTTTCTTGTAACACACAAACAACCTAAACAAGAGGCAAATGAATCTATAGATACGCTTTTCTGGTCAATTAACCTGAGAAACGTTTTTGTTACCGTTTACATGAATTGCAAAGAGACAACGTTTAGTTTCTTTTTCTTCTTTATCCATTGGGCTACTGCCGATGGCTGAGAGGAAAGGGATTGTTAGTAATAGAGTTTAACCACCCCATTACTAGCAATATATCTTATCAGGTTAACCACCACGTGATTCCCTTGGAAACCATCGTAGTTGATTCTTAAATTCGTCACGATAGACTAACTAGCCTGCTTTCATCCTCACCTATCACCTCTTAGTGGTTCCTCGCCGGTGAGTAGCAGAAGCACAGTCGACTCCGCCTACGATTGTCATTCCATCATCATCCATTTAAAAAATATGTATCGATGGTTTCGTTTGCTACTAATCTGGGGAGGGTCGACATATTACATTCATAACGTACATGAGTAATTTTATTAGCAAACTTACCAAGACATTCGTCATCTGGACCCGCTCTGAAGCCCACTGGACATATATCATTCCTTGGAGTAGTATCAATGTTACCAGCACCCACGGTGGTTGCGTCAGCGGAGTCCTCTGTGTACGGTTTGCCCGGCTTACCAGCACACTTATAACCTCCTATTGTATTCTCGCAAAGATACTTTGGACAAGGGGGTCGAGGATGTTGACATTCATTTATATCTATAAAAGGAAAAAATATTACTTATTTGTGTCTCATATAAAGCATGGATGATATAATAGTTAAAGATTTAAATACCCCAGAAATACCACAAAAGGCACAACATATTTGTGAAGTCAATGGTAAAAAATAATATGAAATGTATAAGTGCATGTAGGTACTGTGTAGGTCCTGGTATAGAATAAGCCATCCCTTCCTTTCCCATGGGTGTCATAAGAGGCGACTAAGGGAGCTTATGGTGGAAGGATGGGCAGCAGCGTCCTTCTTAAAGCATCACTAAAAGCCAAACTGCGGTTGCCAACCCAAGTGTGGCAACTACTGGCAAAACCCCTCTTATGGGGGAGGTTATGTTTAGCAGTAGACAGTCAACGCTTGATACAATATATATGTGCATGTCTATACAGAGTTAGTCCTAATGAGTACACTTGAGCAAAAAGATAAAAATGAACAACTTGCATCAACAACTTTTTGATCCTTTCTTCATTCATCCTTTACCCAATTATTATTTGAGGCCGGCATAATATGTTTTTCTCTTCCATTCTTCTCTATTCGCAGTCTTTTCCGCATTCACTTCTTTTTTGGACATATCATCTTTCACACTGGCCATCTATATCTTTTTAGATCTGGCTCTTATAGCCATCTCCTACATTCATACTTAAATACCTTTCTTAAAACATGCTCCTCAGATATCCATATTACAAAAAGATTTGGCTTCTAGTTTGATCCTTTCTTGATTTGTATAAAAAAGTAAGAGATTATTTTGAGATTGCGACCTTTGGGTCCTTTGCGATCCTTGGGGAAAGTTGATTACTTTCCTGTATATTATCACTATGATTAATGAATGTTTAATAGGCGATGTTATTAAGCTATTTCCATCTGGTCAGACGTTAACTTGGACCATCCATTACTCATCATCAACAAATCATGTTCGAAACTACAGACATTTTTAAATTAAAATAAACATGTGCTCTACGTACCATCACAGACTTGACTCTTGATGTTTTTCTTGAAGCCAGCAGGGCAGCTGAGCCCCGCTGCTCGTTTCTTAATGGGGACGCATTTAAAAGCTCCGGCTGTATTGTGACAGACAGTATTTTCTGCCGTACACAAATCATCTAAAGCTTCTGCACATTCATTTATATCTGCAAGAAATATATTTACCTAAGTATATATATATATATATAGTTATAAAGCTTTTTTCAATTAGTATATTTAACAATTTCTTTATATCATAGCTACGACATGACCTCTCGTACTATACATATAAAAGTAGGCATTGCCATGCAATATATATACGTATACGTAAGTGTATGCGTGTGTGTGTCTGTGTGTGTATACGTGCGCATGTGTGTATGTATAATGTATATACACATATACACACTTTTAAAAAACTCTATAATTTAAATAATTATAGAAGTATATTAGGGGTACGTAAATTTTTTTTGCAAGATAATTTATCTACTACTATCTATGATTTTATTTAGATATTTAAAGAGTAAGACCAAGGATATCCTATAACATATGAGTAAATTATTTAACAAGTACCTAAATAAATTTGCTTATGACTTTTACCTTTACAAGACTTTTTATCTGCTTGCAATCTGTACCCTTCACGACAGTGACATCTAATACTGCCATCTTCATCGTTACAAATATGTTCACAAGAGTCCTTTTTGCATTTCTCTTTCTTCTTTTCCGTTGTCAATACTTTTCTTTCAGTAGTTGTTTCAATTTTCTTTTCAGTGGTTGTCGGCTGTTTGGCAGCTTCCTAATATAATTTATTATAGCAACATGAATGTGTAAATTAAAAAATAAAAACAAAATAAGACATCTTCCTTAACCTAAACAATGATGAACAGAAAGCCAGGGTTCATAGTGCACAATTTATTAATAATTTACGTAAACTCTTTATCAATCAAATGACCCGAAAGCTGTTACGATCGTTGGTAGACTGTGACACAAAATTCATTCAAGTCATATCTTGTTCAGATTGAAAAGGTTAAGAACTGTTTTTATTGTGAACCCATAAAAAGACAAAATATGTAACAAGAATACTGTTCTTATTTTGATTTCGTAATTGTTTACTGAACCTTTAACATATCTCTTCAGGGCCGGCAATGCACACATGATGTTCCTAGCGTTACAGGCGTCCATTGGCTACAGTGCCCGTTTACCATCAGACGAACTGTATGCTTGTTTGCCACCTTTGTGGTATGAAAATTACATATATATATATATATATATATATATATATATATATATATATATATATATATATATATATATATATATATATATATATATATATATATATCATATATATGTCAAATACATTATATGTATGTTTTAGATTAATGCCCCCTTAAAACTTATAATCTTCTAATAATCTCAACAATAATACATCTCTTACATATAATCTAAATATTTGCAGGATACTTACTATACAGCACTGGTAGTACGCATTGTTCCTCAACGCCGTGGTTGGTGCGACATATTCATCAGCTGGACCACCACATGCACCCTCGTCCTGGGACTCTCCGGTTAATATTCCGAAAGAGCATTCATCGCAGCAAGTCTTCAACAAGCACGAGATAAATCAATATAATTATTATTGGTGTCATCTTTGAAAAATTTCAGAAGTTCGTATAAAAATATGACTTTTACCTTTCCCATTGGAGACTTTGGTATATTACATCTTTTTGTTTTCGCATACTTCATTCCGTCTGAACAATCACTCTTCTGTCTGAAAAGTTTTATTTTTTTATTTTATATTAAAATGTTATTATTATATATTATATTATATCCTATATTCATTCGTCTCTAGTTATAATTCGAAACACTTTGAGTTAAACTTTGTTTAGTTTTAATTTCTTAAAAATACATTTAATATTAATATTCAGATTTATTATGTATTATTAAAATAATAATAGCCCTTTTGTCCTACAAGTATGTAATTTCTATAGCCTTGGAGAAGATTACGGATCCATGTGATAGATCCTAGTAGTTCAAAGTAAATCAGGCGAATAGCAGCCATGCACTCAAATAAGTTTTCAAATCTCTATATTAGTTATCACTTTAAATGATAAATTTCCTAAACTTTGCATAAAGTTCCTAATTGAGTAAATACCATTTAACAATCCTATTTCAAACTTAAGTATCGCAAGTTTTTAACACTTGTATCTAAGCATGTCAATATTACATATTCTAAGAATAGTAAATATGACGTCTCAGATTTAATTCTCAGTGTTGGCATTAATCGGAGATATTTTTGTGTAAAATGTATATATATGAAAAACACAGTATACAAACTTGAAGAAATCATCACAACATCGGCTGATCGCATCTCGACAGATGTCTATTTCATCGGGACCTATGTAATCCGGAGGATCAGTGGCAGCACACTCAGCAGACGATTTGAAGCCAACGAACATCGTTTCCACGTGAGAACAACATGACTCACTTATTCCTGTGATCTCTTCTGAGGAGAGAACTGTGAAACCAATAAAATTGTTCTAAAACTCTTATATTTTTTTTTATTATGATAAATAAATGTAATTTGATTTTAATGTTCTCCTTTATGATAACAACTAACACATATTTTTTTCCTGAATTCACATTCTTTATTTTTAATTAATCATACATTCACAATGAAATTCAAAAGTGTCATCATCATAAACTACATCCGTTTTGTCCACTTACTTTACTCACCTTTCCCGGGACCTCTATATATCCCTATATATATATATATATATATATATATATATATATATATATATATATATATATATATATATATATATATATATATATATAGTTTGGAATTGAATTGGACATTGTATTATATATGATTATTTAGGCGGAGCTGGGCTGGCTGTACTAGCTACGACTCATACGTACGACGCCGCGACGGCTGAAATGAGAGGTTGAGCGCGGAAAAGAGTCCAATTTACATTACATTATATTATATATGATTATTGTATTTCTATTTTCTACTGTGATTTAAATTACAGAATTAACGCTTTAATATGTAAATTAACTAAAATATAATCTTAACCTCTTATAATTAATATTAAATATTGTAAATGATTTGGCATGTACAAAAATATTTTCCTTTCGCGTGTTGGAGTTTTGTAAACTGCAGGTAACAATAAATAAATAAATAAATATTTGACCTAAATGTTGATATTTAATCAATATTTATGACCTCATAGATTCATCCGATCCATCACAAAAACGTAACCATTATCAGCACACAAATTCCGAAACAAAAGATACACGATATTGTTTTCGAATTGGTACTAGCTACTGAGATTAATCAAAAAACAGATATAAGAGGTATAATGGTCAAATAACTCTGCGCAAGTCTAACAAAACACGTAGAGAAAAACAAGTGCCAAAATTTAAATAGAAGGTTTTAAAGATTATGCATAAAATTTTAGTATTTGAATTATGATCTGTTTCCCTCAGGATTATAAATATCAAAGTAGGTTTATTTGTTTTTTGTTTATTTGTGACCTCTTGATGCATGATGATTAAACTGGCCGTCATGATAATTACACATTAGGTATAGTATTTGAAATGAAGAAGGCCATAAGCTACTTTTTATTCAAATTTCAACTAGAATGACCTGGATATTGTTACAAACGGAAGTTCTATTTTTAAGCCTATGTGCTTGATAAAATGTAAATATTATTGTAAAATATTTTAAAGTTTGTATTTAGAAGGATTTAAAGTCGTCATACATATACATTTTGAAAAACAGGATCATTGGGCAATTGTCACGCGTCGAGAATACATTGAAATTATGATCTCGTTCAATCTGCGCCATAACTGAGTACGAACACTGAATAGTAATTGTTCAATCTAAAGACAATGTGTGGACAGGAATCGGGATAATCTTTGTACCCATAAACAACGCTATATCTTATTTTACCATAGCATAAACAAAACAAGTTACCTATATCCGCATTAGGGGGCGTCCATTAATTAAAAGAGATATTTTTGCGTGACATTTTACACAAAATTTTAAATAAAAAATGTGATATGCTTCCCTTAGTGAAATTAATCTATCACAAAAATTATAAATTAGTAACTTGTCCCGTAATATCATCCGCGTAATAAGGATAAAAAGTAGCCCATACCTTTTTCCATTCCATATACAATACGTTTATACGAAATTTTATAGTGATTAGTTGGTTGACTGGTAGAGAACATTGTCCGGTGTTTAGTCTGCCAAATGTACATAGAATTTTACTGTGCATTAAAGTTTAAATAAAATAAAACAAATTAATTAAGCAGTTAAGGTGCTATAAAATAACAAACAGACAAACCCACTTTTACATTTATAATATTAGTAAGAATTCCTATTTTCACAATAAACTTTTGTAAATTATCTCGAATCTCTGGATTGTGTACATAAATATTTATCTAGTTCTGTCTAATTTATATATTTTCGTATTTATTCATTAGTAATATTTACAGTATTATCTATTTATTAAGTACGTATTACACGTTTACCGTATCACCAGTTTACCGGCAATCTATTTGACTTTGTAATGCTCTTGTTTTTCGATAATTTGTTATTAGAAAACAAGCTATAATATATTTTTAGCTTTGTAAACATATATTGTAAATCACCTTTCCCACCTTACATCCTGATATAGGTACAGTTTAATAAATGTAACAATTTAGAATATAATAAATAAACCATCGATTAGCTCGTCGGTTGATTATATTATTGTGACCCTGAGAGGCCGCTAATTAAGAAATTCCGTCCTGCACTTTATGATAAATAAGGAACTGCTTATAATTATCACTTCAATGCTCACAACATTCTTATTGTATAATTATTGGCACACATTTAACATATATGAGTAAAAATGTTTTTTAATAATATAATAAGTACTTAAAAAAAATAATGTTTCTAGTTACTTTTAGATATGTAACTAGCTATTTCGCGTGATTTCATCTACGTGAAATTGACTTTCTAAAGTTTATTTATTTACGCTGTCCACCTATGTAACGTACATTACATATATAAGAAATATCTTATAAACTGTAAGGTATAGAAATGATATTGCATGTACAATACTAATTTTTTTATGCAATTTACAATGGCAAATAAGCTGAATAATAGCATAAATAAAATATATGTAAAATTTATGAAATTTTAAAAATCACGATATATAGTAATATATATATATATTTCAGTTACAATATCCATATATTGGTTTAATAAGGAATATGGTAGATGTCTATATTTAATATTCTATATTTAATACTGAAATGAAGAATCCGGTTGAAATTAATATACTATGTATATTTCCGACCGGTATGGGTGACATAGAAATAGGTATGACCTTTTTTCCACCGTCAATGTCCAGACGAACCCAATATGTAGATATTGGAGCGATACCGATATTACCCATGGCTAATTCATGATCCTATATCGAAAAATGTCATTAGTCAACATACATACATACACACAGATATTCCACGATACGAGACGAACGCCTAGATGTTTGTGATTCGCGACGCGCTGATAATCTCACGACCTCTGTCATAGATGCACTGTACATATTTCAACACAACAATATCTTCAATGACGAGAGTTATTCTAATAAATAAATAACTATTCATAGTTTTATTAATTCATCCACCATTAATGAGCATACGAACTCAATATATAGATATCGGAGCTTTAACGTATTACCCATCCCTACTAGAGACTCGTGCACGTCTTGAATACTTCTTTGATTCCTCAAATTCGAGACAAGATTCGATTCTTTTTTTTATATGAACAACAAAATAAATAAATACCAAAAACAATGCCAAATCTGCATAACTAGCCTCCAAATTTTGTCAACTGACTTCAAAAAAAGGAAGGAGGCTCTCAAATTTGGTTGTATTTTCATTCATTTTGTTATCTCAAAACTCCGTCATTTATAGACTGATTTGAAAAAATCTTTTTATCTTCTTTTCTTTTTTTTTTATTATTTTTTTTTATCTTCCAGACTAATCTCAGAAATTTAATCAAAATCGGTTCAATAGATTTTAAATCTAAATAACCGGTAATACTGTGATTGAAATCTTTTTCTTAAATATCTTTTTTTTTTAAATACTTTTACTTACTATATTTTTTATTATTCTAGGAATCTAAAAGTGGGTTATCTATATGCCTATATTTTTTGCATAATACACGATTTATCATCAATTCGAAACGATTTTAGTAATTCTTTTTACAAATAATTAAAAATATAATGATATTTTTTTGAGTTCTTTAAAATGCGTAGAAAGATAACATAAGATGGATACCGAGCTAAACATCTGTGGAGCTACTTTGGATCGAAATTAGAACTGAATCATACTTTAATGATAACTACCCCAATAAATCAATAAACCTTCGCAAGAGACGTGTCTATGGGTACGTATATTTATATAGTGCTTTATGCAAATAAAGTAGTGCTACATCCTTATTATGTACCTACATTGTTTGTCTACACATGGTCGCGTGTGCTTCTCTACACATGTTACTATTTCTTATAATTCTTTTTTTTTAAGTTTAATCCCATTTTTTTAATTTCAATCATGGCATTTTTGTCGTTGAGGCCCACAATTTTTTTTGAGTGGCTACTTCCATTATAACATTGTAATATATAAATTTTGAGTAAAGCGAAAAAATTATTAACATTTTTCGTTTTTTGTTAAATTCCAAAAATGATTTTGGTTTTACTAAAACTTAAATTTAGAACACAAGAAAAATTTTGTTTGCTATTTTAATATGTATTAGCAAAATGTAAGCAATACTCTTTTTTGAGTCATTTTTTTTTTCATAATAGTACATGTGCCGTATACAATAGCAATGGCAGACATACAGTTCTATTATATAGAACTATTTAAAAATAGAATTAAAAAGATTAGAGTTTCCTTCTCAAGTCTGTAATGTGTTTTTCTTTTGATTCTCACTTTATTATTTACATTTAATCACTAACTTTCAATACTTACTTAAACAATTTGAAAATAACAATAGATTTTAAAATCTAATTCCTAAAATATAACACTACTCAACATTCTATTATTCATTTAATCCACGTTAAAATATCCACAAGTTTAAAATAAACATAAAATTCTATCCAAATTATGATCATTGACCTCATTATGGTTATAGTTTCCTCGTAACTTTTATCACTTTGGTTTTCCCCATATTAAGAAAAAACAAACTTACAGACTTACAACAACAACAACAAATTGACTGGTACAAAAAAAATTAGCTTTTGAAACCTTACGCTTCTTCGAATTGGCTGCACAATGTGCAGTTACTCGTTTGCGTGATTACCAAATCACAATATTATTTTTACAAATAATACATACTCGTATCTGCGTTACATAAGTTCAGAAAATATTGTTTATGAATAAATTGATAAACAATGAGTACCTAGTAATTTTTATATGAATGGAGTACACAAACATACACAAAATCTCCTATTTTTTAAGGGGAAATAGTGATTTCGCATTTTTTTTTACATTGAATTTTTCGAATTTTGAATCATTTTATCTAAAATAATAAGTTATCAAAATTGATAAGATACTCTGGATTACATTTAGTACTTTTGAGGAAACTTCTAACATACGCACAGTTATCATTATAAAAAAAATATAATAGGTTAAGATACCTTCTTGTCAAAATCGGTAAAATTCTTAGCCACTGGCAGGTAATATACTAGGTAATTAATAGATTAGATGTAATTCGATACGGTGTTAGCTAGTATGGGTTCAACCGGGTCACTACACATCTGCAAGGTTTTATTTCATTAGATACTGTAATATACACATTGAGACCTTTGCAACAACAAATATCTACTACCTATACCTATCTATTTATGTAATCTAAATTAGTACTCCTTTTATGGAGTGTTTTACCAATAAAATAGAATATTTTCATCAAAAATACACCAATTAAGCTTCCGTATTACTATTATTCCTATTAAACATTATAATAAATATCTAATAAATACTCATCTGTAGGGCTAAACTTTTTTTTTCAACCGGTTTCTAAAAGAAGGAGGTTCACAATTCGATATTTTTTTCTATGTTTATTACTTTATAACTCTTAGTTTTAAACCGAACACAAAAATTTTGTTTTTGTCTAAAAGGATATACTTACAGATTGATTCCATAGAAATTTTAAAAAAATTAGTTCAGTAGTTAAGTTTTTATCTCAAAATAACTAGTTTTTGTTACAATTGCAAAGACTTAAAATGGCAAAAACATCCATCTAATGGAAATTACGCTTAATTACATTGGTGTTGCTTTTCCTGACGACTAAAGCGTCATACCTTCAAACTCTGTAAAGTTAGTGTCAAACCCAACCCTTCAACCCATGCAGACTAGTTTTGTAAAACTCTTCCTCTGTAACTACAAATAGGCCTCATTGACGATGTGATTAATAAATAATGATTTATTTATAGTGATTAAATGATGATGTAATCCTTAACTTAAATAAAGGTGACAATGAAGCAACAGTCATGTTTAATGCAAATTACGAATACGTATATAACAATCAGGTATTCTGTTCTGTAGGTAATAAGGTAATCTTAAATAATTATGCAGTACAGATACTTTGTATATTTTCACTAAAAAGACGTAATAGATTTGAGAGTTCGACATCATCCCTGATTTTGTTTAGATATTTTGATGTAACAATGATATACAGACATAGGTCCGTCTAATTGTAAACTGTTCTTATAACCTGCTGCCGGTAATACTAAAGGCATCGCGTGCACGTTACTAATATCTTACTTCCTCATTTCCAGGTGACATATATATATATATATATATATATATATATATATATATATATATATATATATATATATATATATATATATATATATATATACAGCCAATCAAACGAAATAAAGATATCATTCCTACATTGAATACAATAAATACACCCTCTTTCGCTACCTAGATAATCCAATTAATCCAATCCAATTCGATATATATATATATATATATATTATATCTAAGTAAAAGACCAATATATAAAATTATATAGATTTTTTTATTGCTACAACATTATCAACGACAAACAAGCTGGGACCCCATTATCATTTAAAAAAAAGTGATATACCTATAGATAATTGTTAAATGTCGAACAATGGACATAAATCATAGAAATATGCTGTTTCTATCTAAACAAGCCCATAATAATAATTAAGCAACGCGTTGCCATTTTGAAGACTCAGGTGTTATTCCTTTGTATCCATTTAAATTCACGTGCCACGTTATCCTTCAAACCGAACTGTGCTCACCCGTCAAACCGAAACACAGCCATGCAAACACAACTGCTTCAAGCTAGAAACATGAATGGGACACAGAATCCCATTATACAGAAAACGACTTTTTTACAAAGTCTCCCTCTGTCTGCGACACAGTGAAGTTTTCTCTAAATTCATACAACAGTTTAAATATATATAACGATCAAAATATTATTAGTTTCAAAAAGATTTTTTAATAGGAATCTGTAAATGTAAAATAATCTTTGAGCATCCTATAAGATACAAGATATGGATACTAAATAATAATCATAATATTTATAAGTTAAAAGACCAAACACGTACATTGGGGAGAAGGAGTTGTTAGTAATGCGGACAAACACTCCCATTGCTAACAATACACCTTATCAGGTCGACCTCCCCGTGGTCCTCCCTGGAGACTGGGCTACCATTCCATTATCATTTAAAAAAAAGTACATTATTCCACCGTTAGGACATTACTTGTTTTGTCATACATTCACCTTATATAAATAATTGTTAAATGTCGATCAAATACAAAATTAAATGGCAAGCACAAACAATCATAGAAATGTCGCAGTGTCACAGGATTTTCTATCTAAACAAGCCCGCCTTTCAATAATAATAATAATTAAGCAATACAAAAAGTGGCCTATATTTAAATTTAGTGACATTATTAATTTGTATAACAAATTTCATTTAAATCCATTCAATCGTTCTGACGTTATTTTAGCAATAGATTTTAAACATATTTATATGAAAAATTCTCTCTGCGTATCCCGCAAGAAATTGGCATGAAGATAAATAGTAACATGTTTTCCAAAATAAGTATCTACAAGTTATTAACGTACAATTTATACAAATTACACACAGTATTTATATTATACAGAAATAGTATTGTAGATAAATATTTTACGAAATCTATCAAAACAAACCAGATACGTTTACACAGACGGACAGATATCTCTAATATTTTATTAAGTATATGTAAATAATATATCATAATATATGACAATTATATACTCCACTGACATATATTTGTTTAAAGCAATTTATATTTAATCTAGGATAGATGTGCCCTGTGACCGGGTCATACAATATTTCGCCATATTCTTGAGTCATGTTTAAACAAATGTACAAAATATTACTCACCTGCCGCGACATTCCTTAAAACTATGCACATCACAAATAATATCACTATGTACTTCATTTTAACATAAACTTGTATATAATAACTTATTTTTAAAACTAAAATTCACTGTCATAGTTTATCAACACACTCATTTGTTAATTTTTAATACAACGGATTTTTATGTTGTGTTGGTGACCAATGCGAGTTCACTGGGCAGCGTCTTAGTTGGTAATGTAGTGATATACGGGTCAAACTATGCTGATAACATTCTGCGCATGCTCTCTGGGACCACCGCACTGGTCCACTGTTGGGATCGACACAATACATTATTTTATTTATTATATTAATTATTTAATACCGAAGCATAACATGTTACGCGACACTGGTAATAACAATTTTTATAATTTTTCTTGCAATAGTTACCTACGCATGGTTACATTTTTGTTTCTTTTTTTAATAATTTCACAGTCTTAAACTACTAAAACCTTAAATTATAAACTAACCGTAAAATGGCAGAATTTTAAATACTTCACTTGTATAGAGTTCCTCATCTAGCGAAGCTTATATTTCCTTACAAAGACGTAGTAGTAGATAAATAAGTACCTGTCTACATGCTTTGACATTTCAATCTACACAATCTTTCAGAGTAGAAGTTAATTAGTTAAGTTAGGGTAAGCACACAGACAACACCATATCTGGCGGTGCTATGGGCTGCAAAGGGCGAGCTGCGTATGATACCGGATTAAAATTATTTTCATTAAGCGTATTTTTGTTAAGCACGCAAAGCTCCCTGGGGATATGTATGTATTTATATGTGTATATTTATGTATTTTGTATGTATGTTATACATATATTGTTATAGTAAGTAGTTTAATACATTATATGTATTTGATATTTTTGTGCATTACAGATTTTTGTATTTTATGCACGAAAAATTATTAATTCACTCTTGTGCCACCTGCCCATTTCTATCTGTTCTCCTTTAACCAAAGGTTGTCTGTAAGAGATTGTCCTAGCGATAAGACCGCCTTTTGTACCTTTATGTGTATATTTCAATCTGTATTTATGTTACTGTATTTTACTTGAATTATTCACTTGTCATTGTATATTTTTATTTATGGTGCAAAAAAAAGTTAAATAAATAAATATTCATTTGCATGAACACCACAAAGTCTTGGTTTCAATTTAACACTGTGGTAAGGATGTTATTCTTTATTTATCATCTTCATCATCATATCGGCCGTATATATTAACTGTCTACTGCTAAACATAAGCCTTCCCCATAAGGGGAGTTTTGCCAATAGTTGCCGAGCTTGGCAGGTGGGTTGGCAACCGCAGTCAGGCTTTTAGTGATCGGTTTCAGAGGGACATTGCTGCCCATCCCTCGACTATTAATTTCCCTTAGTCGCCTCTTACGACGTCCACGCAAAAGGAAGAGGTGGCCTAATCTATGCCGGGACTACACAGCGGTCTTTATTTATATATCATTTTGTTTCATCTTTGATTTTGACAGAGTAAAGAGAAACCACTGGAGTTCGTCTAAAATAAACAAGTACCATTGGCACCGTTTCTTGGATTGTAATAAGTTCTTGGGTTCGATTCCCGGTATAGAATAAACATTTATCCTAACACAAAACGTTTCAAATTATTAAATTCTTATTTCTAAATAAGTAAAAAAGAAAACAATCAAAGCATCCGGTCTTATTGTTTTTCTTTTTTATTATACAACGCTGGTAAAGAGGGGGAAAGGGATTTTAGACATGGAGACTGAGAATCACACATTGCTACAATATACCCAACCAGGTCGACCTCCCGCTTGGCAGGTTCCCCAGTCAGGCTGGAAACTATCATGGTTAATTCCTGATGAATTCATCATGATGGGCTAACTGGCCTGTTTTCATTCTATCTATCACCCTTCACTGGTGCTTCGCCAGCGTATACCATTAGCGCAGGCGGGGTTATCATACCATTTTCAGCCATCAAAAAAAAACGCTGGTAAATAAATATAAGTCTTGTCCGAGTTTTGAACAGCTTTTGAATGCCTGCAACACCAGGAATGTCACGTGCGTATTGCCGACTTTTAATGCGTTTTTTCAAAAGTACCATAATGAAGATCTTATTAGTACATTGACAATATGAAGTATGAATGTAAACTTTAAATTGGCAGTCAACAAGGAGTAGGTACCGTCGTGAAATTAGGTACGGTCAGTAGGTCAAGTGCGACTGATAATGTCCCCGGCGAACTGAAGACAAGATATAAAAGTTCATCGCACATCTTATTTTTGCTTATAATCGATTGTAAAATTACAATATATATTATAGTAGGCGTTTCATTATAAAATACTCACGTAGGTACAATTGGCGTTTTCTGGTTAAATGTTGTATAATTTTATCAATCAGACATTGTTTTATGTTCTTCTAAATGAGTCTATTAATACTCAGAATTGTCGGTGTGTAGTTTCCAGAGTTGTAGTGATAATGAAATTGAATGAAATATATCTATCTATATATATATATATATATATATATATATATATATATATATATATATATATATATATAATATTTTGTAATTTCGTCATAGTCGTAGAATAATGACGGATCTGACAAATATTACATATAAAGATCCGTCAGTATTCTACGACTATGACGATATGTAATCGATAGTATTGCAATGTTTTATCAATATGTTATCAACAGATTTATAAGGATCAGATACTTACGGTGACTATCTGGTAAAAGAAAAACAATTTATTCCTTGTTTTGAAAAACATCTACTTTACGAGACATTAAACTCGTATATATTTGGGTGTTAACCTACCTAAATAACACGACATCACGCATGCAATACCGCTTGCAATTACTTGTCTACAATAAAAGAAATCGAATACTATCTAGTACTAACAGTTATTTGCGGGGGGAAAGGGATTGTTAGTAATGGAGTTTGACAGCCCCATTGCTAGCAATATGCCCTATTAGGTCGACCTCAACGTGGTTCCCCTGGAAACCATCGTGAACAATTCTTGTTGAATTCGTCACGATGGGCTAACTGACCTACTTCATCCTCACCTATCATCCTTTACTGTGCCCCGCCGGTGTATACTGATAGCGCGGGTGGGGTTACCATTCCATTATCATCCATTAAAAAAAAACAGTTATTTGCCCGCTACCTTTTACACGTGGGTTCCAAAAACCATCTCTTGAAATCATGAAATTGAATTTTCATGAAATTTTCCATAAAATCAATGAAATAAACTACTTTTAAATGGCATATCATTATCAGTTAAACCTTCAAAAATACAAATGTGAAAGTCCCATTCAATTTCATGCAATAGTTTTTACGTCATACCCGAACAAACAGACGGATAAAATTTCTAAAGATGATTATTTTGACTTTATTGCTCTTATATCAATTTTATTATATTAGTAAGACAGTAACATTTAACTGTCCAAATAAAACATAAACTTATCATTATGTTCAATTGTTATCTTTGTCTATTAGAATCTATTTGCAAAAGTTAACGCCCCGCAAAATATCAAGACAGCTATAACATCGCTTGACCTTCATCCCTAGCTCTTTTCTACCATAGGTATATACTACAAAAAAAAAAAAATAACAGTACAAAGGCGGGAATTTTGTTATTTGTATTTCTACTAGCCATTAACTATCCTCTGCTGAACATAACCTCCCCCATAAGTAGGGGTTTTCCAGTAATTGCCACGCTTGGCAAGCAGGTTGCCAACCGCAGTTAGACTAAGGTGCCGTTTTAAGAAAGCCATTGCTGCCGATCCCTCGACTATTAAGTTCCCTCAGCCGCCCCTTACGACACCCACGAAAAAGGAATTTTTGTTTTTTTAGTCTCTTAATAAATTTAACCCTTCGTAATTATAAAACCATTTGATTACATACAAAATAAGCAATTAAAATAAATCTTGATTTAGGTATTGATTTATTTTTACAATTATGGCATACAATACGGTATTATAGTGATCACCTATATAATCTTTTTATTTGTTAATAAAAACAATATTTTATACATAAAAAAAAAAATTCGTCGCGTACATCTCCATATGTACGTGTATGATTTTCAACAAGTACGATTTCTGTCTAATTTTTATGACCTTTTTTGGTCTCGTGTCTTCAGAAAATTTTATGTCTCCAAAAAGCGTTTTATAAAATGCTTGCGTCTATATTTTTTTTTATACCACTCGTGTGGCAAACAGGTATACGGCCCACCTGATAGAAAGCAGTTACTGTATCCAGTGAATGTCTACATATTAAGAGGACTTTTCTGGGCAATAGAAGTTGAAAGCACGGTTCAAAGATTCACCGAAGTTGGACAGGTCGTATTTGCTGAAATTCATTAACATATTAATCATTAAAATCAGCGATAATATCAACGGTATTAACATTAAAAACCTGAGAATCATCGTAGCAATAGATTCTCATGTTCACATTCTTATTTTCTGACAGTTCTATTCACTTTGCCGTAGATCTCGGGGAAGGCTTCCTTGCAGAAGGGCAGGCTGTCACGGACTTTATCGTATAACGTATGGTCGAACATCTGCCGGAACTCTTCGAGGGTCGTATAAGTATCAGCGTACAACATCTGGAATCCATCATTCTGAACGACGAAGCTTTCAATGCGACGGGTTGAAGCAACCTGAAAGGATTTTTTTAGTTTTTTTTTTATACGACTTAGAATGGCAAACAAGCTGATGGCCCACCTGATGGAAAGTGTAATCGTCGCCTATAGACATGAGCAGTACCATGGACATAACAGTACACACACATACTGTTACGACATGATACCCCCCATGCGTTGCCATTCCTGAGGACTCAGGTGTTATTCCTCTGTACCCTGTAAATTCACGCCACATCTCACCCTTCAAACCGAAACACAACTGCTTCACAGTAGAAACACGAATGGGACAAAGGTACCCAAGCAATCGACTTTTGTACAAAGTCTCCCTCTGGTATATATATGATATTATATTAAATATAATAATTATTATACAATAATACAACATGTAACCACACCGTTCTGAGCGAACATAGAGACAATATAGTCCAAGAATGCGATCAATCGAAAAGAGAAGGATTCATCGCCTATTGATATGTATAACAGCATGGACATAACGAAATTCACTGTGATATCCATGGTACCCCATAATGCTTTACTACTGCTGAAGACTAACATATTATGCTACTGTCCGTCTATGTCCTTGCATAGTATGGACCATTCCTTCCTTCTAACTCCTGAAACACAGGTTTATTCATACCTACCTTGGGAGTTAAGGACTTCAAACTATATTGTAACAAAGAGTGAAATAAAGATTTATTATTTATTTAATATATTCCTTTCTTGTTTCTCGTTAGAGGCGTCCAAGGTAAATTAATAGTCGAAAGATGGATAACAGCGTTTCTCTTAAAATATCATTACTGCGGTTGTCAACCTGCCTGTCAAGCGTGGCAACTACTGGCAAAATCCTCCAATGGGGGGGAGACTGTGTTCAACAGTGACCAGTTAATAGCTGATATGATGATAATGATGATGATGATAGTTTATATATTCTCTGCTATATCTCAGCCTTCAAATCGAAAAACAATTCACAGCAGAAAACAAAAGAATAGATATAATTTATACACCCATGATAAAACTTACGGTTTCATATCCCTTAGCCTTGGGCACTCCATAGACCCCTATATCGACGAACATCTGCCAATCGCCAGACTTGACCCTCAACTGCCCTGGTTGATTTAATACTTTGAACGGACACAACCAGATCGGATATACCTGCAACAAGACAATATTTCATTGCTATTGTATTACCTATTTATATAATACTAGCTTTTACCTGCGACTTCGTCCGCGTAACTAAGATTTGGTTACTGATCGGAATAAAAAGTAGCCTATAAGAAGTAACAGACAAATAAAGAAACAAACTTACTTTCACATTCAAAATATAAGTACAATGTTAGATATCATTAACAATATAAGATTTTCTGTGTGATCCCGGCATAGAAAGGCCACCCCTTCAGTTCCTGTAAGTGTGGTAAGAGGCAACTAAGGGCATTAACAGCAGTGTTCCTCTTAAAACATCTCCAAAACCTAACGTTTAACGGTTTTTTTTTATACAACTTAGAATGGCAAACAAGCTGACGGCCCGCCTGATGGAAAATGGTAACCGTCGCCTGTAGATATGAGCAGTACCATGGATATAACAATGTTGCCAATCAGTCTGTGTAAAAGTGGTAAATTCATCACGATAGGCCAAATGACATGGTTTTAATCTCATCTATCATCCCTTAATGGGGCCTCGCCAGTGTATATCGATGATGCAGGCAGGGTTATCATTCCATTAATATCTAATTTAAAAAGTATCAACATTTTACATGGTATTTATTTATTGTTTAGTGAACATATACTCAATATCATTCCATGAATCGTTCATTACAATTGAAACTCCAGGATAAGAGCTATAGAGTTGAATTTTCAATAATTTAATAATAAAAATGATAAAAATCAAACACCGACTAACCTCAAATTCCTCATGAAATTTTAGGACTGCCTTTTCTAGACGATCTATAGGCACCAGCATATCCTGAATGATGTGTGCTCGATCATATAGCTTGGTGACTGTCTTTGGCTGCGTCAGCTTCAGCAATGATACCTCAGGAGGCATCAGCCATCCGAATAGCACGCGGAAGATAATGTTATTGCCGAATGGAACTATATCCTGTAATATATAAAACAAAGGTGAAAATTGCGTAAATTGATTGCTTGTGGATAAGCGCTAAAAACAGCTTCGTTTTTACATAGAATACGCGGGAGTAGCAACAGTATCCTGAACATGTTTGTAAATAAATTAAATAGTCCTCTCGTGAGAATGCTTGTCGAGAGGACTCGATCATTATTAGTGATTAAGTACTAACATAGTTTTTAAGTACAATTACTAACAAAAATGAATCCAAGTTATCTAAAATAAATAAATAAAATAAAATTATGTACCTGCAGTTCCCAGAACAAGCTCCTTGTATGCCTGTGATAATAGTCTCTCAGAGGTATGTATTCCACAACTGGTTGTCTATCGCCCGCTGTATATCTCTTCAAATGTCTCTCTACTTGTTTGTAAAACCATTCTGTATACCATTTGCCAATGGAATTTAACTGAAAATAATTTATAATTTTATCCAAATGGTAAAATAATTTAAAAGTTTTCAGATATACGTCAATTTTTTTAGCTCGAAATCTTGAAACCTAAATGACAACACTGACAGGACATCTTTAGATTGATTGAAGAAATGTTACTAGACATTGCTCAATCTGTATTTCGTGGGGGAGAGAATTAAAACTAGCGGCCCCATTGCTACCAGGTCAACCTCCTTCAGGTCCCCTGCCAGAAACTATCGCAGTTGATTCTTGGTGAATTCCCCGCAATGAGCCAGCTGCTCTAACTATCCTTACCTAACATCCTTCATTACCATAATATTGGAAACCAACAATTTGCAAAGGCAATATTGCTCAAGATACAAGTATTGTGATGTATTTATTATTTATTTATTTATTTATTGGCACATCAAAAGTATTACATATAATTCGTTGAAATATAACACAATATGTGTTATAATGCAATATGCTGTTGATGTTCCTTTAAATAAATAAATAAATATAGTTGTATATGCACACTACTTAAAGATAGTATCAATTGAATGTCCGTTCGATTATCCATCTGTTAAGACATTTTTTTATCAGGAACATGTGGTACCTTCACAAGCCAAAATTATCTAATATCAAATAGTCAAGTCTGCAATCCCTTGCTGTAGAAAAAATCAAATTTTAAAGTCAACGCAATCAAAAGATACGGCCATTTATAACGTATATTGTCAAAACATTTACATCGGCATCAAAACCTATAGGACAGATAATATAATACTATACTAGTGCCTATAACGGCCACACAGCGTCTATTGTGGAATGCTCTCGCTCGGCAGCGAACAGAAGTAGATGGAGACGTATTGCGAGGACCTCAATCGCGAAGGAGAGCCACATCGACGATCCACTGTCATTGTGAAAACCACGACCAATCTGTCAAGAGTGTACGACTGAAGAGAGAGAGAGTGCCTATAAGGTACTTCCCGTTGACCCAGAATCATGGAATGTAACAAGAAGCAACGTCATACTAACATACATATAGAACAATTAAAGGAAAAAATCCGAAAGCCGTAAAATACATTACAAAGAAAATTTTGCAATATTTTTTTCTAATTATAATTTGTACGGAACCCTCAGTGTGCGAGTCTGACTCGCACTTGACCGGTTCTTTATATATTCGATAATTTAATTACCTTTCCATCCATCCCGATTTCATCTACCATATCACCAGTCATAACAACACCAGTATCTTTGGTGAATAGTAGAGCTTCCACAAACTGATGGGGCTCCTTAGATAAAGACTCTTTAGAAAACCTCGCCGCCAGCTCTGGCAGATTTGTATAGGATTCATACTGGAGACGTACGTACCTGAAAATATATCAGAAAAAAGATTACATATTAGTTTTGAAACCAAAATAACTGATTTTGCCACAAATAATTCGGTTTTCTTTTTATGGGGCACAATCTTAATTACCAAAAAAATATGTTTGAGTTACAGAGAACGGTCAAGGTTGGATCTGAGATGACTGTTATTTCTTATTACCTATAGTGGGAATAAATTTGTAAATATTTTAAATACATACTTTTTAGCTGGCACCACTTTGATGACGACAGAAGTCAAGAACCCAAGAGTGCCGTATGACCATGGCACAGCATAGAACAAGTCAGCTCTCTCGTCCTGCAACAGTTGAATATTGTCTAATATGAGAATTGTTATAAAAATTTGAATTTAGAATGCTGTTTTATCTCCCCAGTTCGATTTATCCACCAGGTGGACTGTCGGCTTGTTTACCATTCTAAGTTGAATAAAAAAATAACTTATTCCGTACCCGTACTACCAAATAAATCCGACAGAGAAGCGTGTTGTCCGCCAAGAAGTGTTCGTACATTTTTTCTATTTACTACCTACTTCTATGCTATTATTGTATATTAACACATTAATAAAATAGAGATATTTTATCTCTTCTCTTCTTATTTTCAAGTAATATTAAAATTTTCAAAATTTCTTGTTTAGATATATTTAAAATATGATATACAATATAAAATTGCTTTGAAACAAACTGCATATTGCTATTGTAAAATTTATTATCCATACAATAATATAAATAAAATCACTATAAAATTACACTCACTATATAAAGAACTATGGAAGATAATAAATTACTTTTCAACACATCCAACATATCCATGAACACGTGGTCACGTGAACGAAGTCACGGGTAAAGATAGTACAAAATAATACTTACTTTGCTACAAGTGATCACAGATCCATCTGCCATCACCAGCTCGTATTGAAGGCAAATGTGCTGGAACAATCCATGAATATGAGAGGAAGTCTCCACACCTGTGCCCATGACGAGCCCACCAACTGTCAGCTGGTCGAGTTCAGGAACCACAGCTAATGCCAAGCCCAATGGCTCCAGAGTACGTGAGAGCTGGCCCATTGTCACTAGAGGTTCGCACCGTACTGTCTGAAATTAAGCGCAGAATCGGAAAAATTTTAAAAATTTTCGAACAACTTTAGAAAGGAGGCGTGAGACACGTTAAAAAATAAATAAGCGCACAAACGAACAAAATGTTTTTTTAACGAACATTTAAAAAGAGATTCTCAATTCGAGAGTGTGTTTTTTTTTACATTTGTTACCTCATAACTCAGTCAGTTCTAAACCAATTTGGATTTTTTTTTATCTGAAAAGATATACTTACAGATTGGTCCTGTAGAAATTTTATCAAAATCAGTTCAGTAATTTAGTTTTTAGAACAAAATAACTGGTTTTGTCGCAAACCGAAGTCGGATTTTTGGGGGACACAGTTTTTTATTGATAACTGTGTTATGTAGTAACAAACATAAAATATGCAATAAGATACATACAAGTTAAGAACCTCCTTTTTTTTTTAAATCGGTTGAAAAAGCAAAGAGCACAAAAGACATTGTAAATTTTCTACCTTAATATAATCTCTAACAATATTATCTAAAGCATCTTTGTTAAGCGTCCATTATTTTACATAGCAACTGAGTAAATTTTACTGAGATAGTTTATCTTTCTTAAACACACTTATTTATAAATATATTGCAATCAGTATACAATAATACGGATCGAATGATTAAGCTGTTTGACGTAAACCATTGATAAACATGTATCTAACAACCCAGGTGTTACTAATCTGAAATTCTGATTGGTACACCCGGTAGATACACCTGAATGATTTTACAGTCATTTTGAATTACTTTCCATGTTTTGTTACAGAAGCACTCAAAGTACTAATAATTTAAAAATTTACGTCATTAAATGTAAATGGTCTTTAAATTTATATTTACTCATTTTTATTTTCAAACATTTTTCTTTCCTAATTTATTATTGTATTGACATTGATGCTCCTTTCCACTTTGGGTGTTGCTGGAAGAAAACTATCAGAGTTAAGCTCGCCTTTGTACATTTGATTACCTCTGTCATATTCTTATAACTAGTGTGTACAATAAAGAATTAAATAAATAAAATAAAGAAAATCTACATTTAGTAACTCCGTAGTAAGTACGGCGTATCTAGTGTCTCTTAAATTTCATGATCAACCACAATCATTTAGGGCTAAAATATTGTCTAAAAGTATTGGTTTGAGTCAACCCAAAAATTTTATATGTAATTTTTTGTATCTATAATTGTGTCAATGTATTCTTGCAATGCTGTGCACATCTTTAATCGATACAAATAATACATTTCGATTTTCAGTGTATGTTGTATTGTTGATATGTCTAAACAAATAAATAAACAAATTTTATTTAGATCCACAATTAAGATCTACGAGTACACGTGGATCCAGGGATAATTTATCTTCCTCTGAGATCCTCAAAGTTTTTGTTCTTTTTCAAAATTATCAATTTTTTGGACCAGATTCATTGGTAGAACATTTGCTTAAAGGATGTCAGTGATTCAGATTTCCCTTCATATAGTGTTCAATGTATGTGATAATGCCATATCAGCGTCTAGACATGATACCTTAGATTGATTTGGACCCACATGTAGGATAGTATATTGTAAAGATTAAATAATACAGTGATAGAATAAAACATTATTTCATAACGCTTATCATGACATCGATAAGGAACACCTGCCACAGAGACACGAGAAAACTAAACAGGATATAGTTAGAATAAAATGAAAGACAATCGAACTGGATTTTCTAAACCTTTAAAAATTATCCAGATTGTTTTATTTATGTGTCACTGAAACGGTATATAAAATTACCAAACTGTAATTTATGAGTTGTGACTGCAAATAGTTAAAAACCCTGGTATAAATTATGATTATTTGTGTAAATTTTCACTAAACAAGTAAAGTTCTTTTATCGACCGACTTTAAAAAAAGGAAGAAGTTCTCAATTTGGTTGTATTTTTTTTTTGTTGGTTACTTCAGAACCTGTCATTTATATTCATTATAGAAACCGAACTGCAAAATTCTTGTATTGCAAACGATATACCTACTTTAAAAATGGTCTCATATAAATTTTTTCAAATCAAAATGACTGGATTTGCCACAATTGAAGTCACCATTTCATTTTTGTGAAATAAAATTTACTTGTGACAAAAACTGTCAAAATGTCAACCTGTCAATAACACAATGCTACAATGCGCAAATTATATAAATTATTAATTATATTTTACCATATTCTTTGTGTCTACTTCCAGCACATCGACGAGGTTAACAGAAATATTAGTGGAGGTCTTTTTATATAGGCCATGGCGAAATGACATCGTCTGCCAGGTGGGGCGGGCCGTGCACAGTCGAGTGTTGCGATCTCCTGCCAGCCATTCCTTTACCTGAAAATAAAAAAAAAATCTAACTTCACACATCTACCAGAGAGAGAATTTGTACAAGAGTTGTCTGCTGGAGTACCTCTACCTCTATCACAGTCATGTTTGTGCCGTGAAGCAGTTGTGTTTTCACGGTTGGGTTGCGGATCGAAGAATGGGATATGACAGTAAAATTACAGGGTACAGAGGCATAATACTTAGCCCCAAGGAACTGAAACACTTTAAGGGTATTTTGGGTGTCACAGAGTATGACTAACATTCATGGTATATAAGCTACGGTTAGGGGGGAAAGGGATTGTTAGCAATGGAGTTTGACAGCCCCATTGCTAGCAATATGCCTTATTAGGTCGACCTCCACGTGGTTATCCCTGAAAACCATCGTGAACAATTGTTGTTGAATTCGTCACGATGAACTAACTGACCTGCTTTATACTCATCTATCATCCTTCACTGGTGCCGCGCCGGTGTATTACGATAGCGCGGGTGGGTTTACCATTCCATTATGATCCATAAAAAAAAGCTACGGTTAACATTGCTTACCAAGTAGACCGTCAGCTGGTTTTCCATTTCAAGTCAAATGAAAAAATACATAAAAATGTATTTAAATAGATAGATAGATAGATAAACACTTTGTTCGAGCCATTTATGACACATGATCATTAACAAATGAGTTCATACAATACTATTAATTACATTTTTTTAAACATAAAACAAAAGATAATATACGAAAATATGTTTTCGCCATGGGTGTCGCAGTGACCCAAATAGGCTATAGCTCAGTGATAGTTTTGCTTAAAAACAAAGCACTGATTTTCAGCTGCCTGAATTTAGGCTACACGGACGCGTACAATGAACCCAGTATCCCTGTATAACCAAATGAATAAACAAAGATAAAATTGTATTATATAGATACATACTTATATTAATGATGCATAAATAATATATTTGATTTACTAATTAAACATACGATATAAATAATTCACCACACTTATTATTATATTGAAAGTAATTAAATACTGTTCTAAACTAATATTAAAAACATCGAAAGAGGGGATGAAATTTCTACTTTATTTTTTTTTTATTTTTTTTTGTACTTCAAAATATTTTACTTAGGCACTGTCTAGTAGTTAAAATGCTTTATTCCAATAAGCTAAAATCTAAGTGCTTACCCTGCCACCTGGTAAAAATAAACTTACCTGCCTCTGTACATCCTTGACCTTCTTATCGTGCATCCTGGGCGCACTGTTCAGCTTAAACACTAACCAGTTCCTGAAGGTGGACCAAACCTTCCATAATAATGATATAGGCAGTAACGCCACTATTACTATCAGCCATCGATACTCCACAATTACGTACTCGGCAAAGGTGTCCGTTTGAATTGTCATTGTTTCTAAAAAAATATTATTTATTTATTTATACTTTATTGTATACACTAATAATACATAAAAAATTACAGAGGTAAGCAAATGCACAGGGGAGCTTAACTCTAAGAGTCCTCTTTCAGCAAACCCAAAGTGGAAAGGAGCATCAATGTCAGCGGGTAGAGCGATGTACAATATTGTGACAATTTTCAAACAAAAAGATGTACTTAGACAAACTTAAGTTTCTAACGTATTGTTATCAATTCTATTACTTGTATATATGTATGTCTATAGATATTATAGTCTATAAATTTAATTAGAAAGCTTTTTCCTGTCAAATTACATAGTATGGTGCACTCAAAATTTTTTGACATTTTTCCATTTATCATCTACTATTCGGGAATATTTTTCAGTTTTAGTTGTAGAACACTAAGGACGTCAAAAGAGAGATTACACACGAGCCAATTCTTAAAATTTCCTTTCTTAAATTTAACCAACCAAGAATCAAACTCTGAATATCATTTACACAAAAAGAACGTACCTGCAACACTGTGGAGATCCTGCTATGTAAATATTGCGATCGAAGTAATACCTCCGAATCGTCTACATCGGATCATTGCTCCGGCTAAACTGAATTTCAAGGATACATTACGTATACCTAAAACATTTGGCGATGTAAAAATCAGAAAATGTTTAATATAGAACCTTCCGACTTTACATTAAGGCACATATATAACATTTCACAACAGTAAATTCTATTGTTGAAATAAAGTCGATAACATATTTGTAAATAGCTCTTATTGTATAGCAATAAGAACTATATTAGCTGGTATCTACGTTTCGGTGTTAATTGTCAAACTAATTTCAGTGTGAAGTGATCTTCAATTCAATTAACTTGAATATAAGTGGTAATTTTATTTATTGTCTAGTCCAGAAATAACAGATAATCAAAAGATAGTAACAGAGAAATTTGTATACAATTATATATATAAATTTGTAATTTAAAAAAATATTGTACTAAAATTTCTGTTACAAATATTCATGAGCTACGTGCGAAGATGTGCGAATCCGGGACAGACAACTAGGTGTAGACTAATCCAATAGAACTAATGAGAAGGAACGTAACCATACTTTGTTGAAATTATTACAGGGGTAGCATGTAGAGGTCGACCTGACAGAGTATATTGGTAGTAATGGGACTGGTAGTGCGAATCACTAACAGGTAGTGTTGCCAGGTGTCCCGAATGCGGAGGACGTCCCGACTTTCAGGGGTCTGGGGACGCATCCCGATTTGTACCTGATCGGGACGCTAAATGTCCCAATTAATCAAAAAATGAAATAGATTTTTCATAAAAAATGTATATTTACACTATGTATTATATATATTAACACTTAAAGTATGATTTTATTTTATAATTTCTACTAGTACAGCAAGACTGATTACTTGTTATGTAAAATTAAATACGTATTTAATTTAGGCAGTTAATATAATACTATACTTGTACTAGTAGTTTAAAACGCAATAAATTAAACCCAGAGTTAAAAACCCCTTGTTATTTGTTTACTGTCCCAATCTGCAACACTACATCCCTACTTTTTTGACCTCATGTACCGATTTAAAACAAATCGGACCTGGCAACACTATTAACAGGTAACAGGAGGGTTGAGCAGCAGTGACCTTCTTATAATATTACCAAAAGCCTAACTGCAGTTGTCAACCTGCCTGCCAAGCGTGGCTACTACTGGCAAAATCCACTTTATGGGGGGAAAAGGGATTGTTAGTAATGGAGACTAAGAATCCCATTGCTAGCAATATACCCAACCAGGTCGACCTCCTCGCGGTTCTCTCTGGAAACTATCATGATTAATTCCTGATGAATTCATCATGATGGGCTAACTGGCCTGTTTTCATTCTCATCGATCACCCTTCACTGGTGCTCCGCCAGCGTATCCCATTAGCGCAGGCAGGGTTACCATTCCATTTTCATCCAATAAAAAAAATCCACTTTATGGCAGAGGCCTATGTTCAGCAGTGGACGGTTAACGCCTGTTTTGATGATGATGAAATAATAAAGACTAGGAATATATATTTTAATTTTAAAACAATAATAATTGGTAGTATCAGTTTAGAAATTTGAGTTGATAAATAAAAAAAAATTACATAACAATACGTAGGTACGAGAATACTGGACAATGGGGTCGACTCTGAGGCGGCAATTTTCTAAATTCAAATTTGATATTATATCGAAATTTTTATTTTAACCAATATAAACAAATTTTCTAAAAGATTTAAGCCTTAATCATTATAATTATAGTTCATGATTTCGTGAAATTATTATTTATTATTATAAATTATTGATTATTATCAAATTACAATATTAGGTTTAGAGAAATGGCGCCTCGGAATGGACCCCGCTGTGCAACAGTATTTCCTTGTACTTATAAGTTATTGTAATTTTCACGTTTACGTCGGTGAGTTTGTTCCTACGTGGGTGTGGCTTGTAAACCTGACTTTCCAAAACCATCCGTTAGTGGCACAACTAAGTAATTTTTTTTTTATGTTTATAGATGCGATTGACAGCAGGTACGTATTCGCTTACTTCATACGTCCAAAAAATATCACCGACGTCTTGAAGAGTCGAATAAAAAATATATCGATTAAATACAGTGGCAGCATTACAATCTACAATATACGACTTTCTCAGCTATGCTATAGTACAAAAAAAAAAACTAATTCCTGATAATTTATCAGCCACGTATAATATTACCATTCGATATAGAGATACGTATGTAATAAAAAGAATTAAAGCGACTGGAAAGATAACGGAGTGATAGATATTCTTTAATTATCATATCACATTTGTAAAATTGTATTAAGTTGAATATCAGTAATGTTTTATAGAATTATTTTAATAAATTGCAATGAAGAAAATAATTAACATTGGTAATAAATCAACAAGTTTATTTAGCTCACAAAATTAATACATTTATCACCAAGAGGTCAAATAAACAGATAAATAAAAAAATAATACATTATATTCCCCCCAAAGGCAATAAGGAACTATTAAATTTAAACAAAACAACAACTACCTATGAGGCCATATTTCGGGCCCTTTTAAATCGGTACCCACATTAATTTATTTACAACTTGGTACAAATTATCACAATTTATTAGAGAGCGTTGTAATTTTTTTATTAGTTTACTAGTCCGGCTTAAAACCATATCCATGGTGGCAAGTTCGAATTTGGCCTACACAAAAATTTCATTGGTATTTTGGAAACCCAAACACCCTAAATAAATTGTATATTGAATAGCCCTAAGCGCCCTCTATTAATTTGATCCTGGAATGCTCATGGAACATGGACTAATCGAATTCTATCAATATATAATATATATCAATATATATCAATATCTATATATATATATTTTACTTTTTTAATCACTAAAATAATTATCCATTACACCCACAAAAATACTTTCGAAATTCTATTTTCAACATATATTTATAGTTTCATCCGAAACTGAAATCGCAAAGTAACCCCTCAAAATTCAATAAATCAGGTGCTTAATTAGCCACTAGTCACAACCAAAAATAAAAATATTACACTAGGTATGACACATTGAAAAACTAATTTTGCACAAGGATAAGTTTCTGATTTATATTCTTAGGTATAGGTAGATACATATTGCATCTTGTCTCACATTCATAGTCCGGACAACCAAATCAAAGTTTAGATTTAATATTTGAATCGTCATGCGTAACAGGAATCACAATATTATTTCTAACCAAAACTTGTCTCGGCGCTGTAATAGTTAGTAAGCCATCTGATGATAACGTAGAAATCACATCCTCAGGTCGACAGTCAGAGGGCAGCGGATATCTTCTTGTGACACGCCTCGAAATATAACCGTGCTCATCTTTCTTTTCTTCGTGTTTCGCTTCAATTTCTACATATCCATTTGATGTCTTCACTGTAATATCATCCGGTTCGAAGTCCTTGGCGTGTATAAGAATTTCATATTTATCCTTGTCTGCCCTGACAGCATTGTCTTGCCTCCACGGATAGTTTTCTAGCCAGTCTATAGATTTTAACACGAATTCATCACTAAAAGGGTTGTAAACAAACGGCAGTAGCGACATGATGACACAATTCCAGAATATTCATCAATTGTTTGTTATGTTTGCGCGTGCTTCGACAAATGCCATAAACGTGACTTACTTGCTTGTATAAATATGTGGAATGCGCCGACACAGATGGCGTTATAACATAAAAAAGCAAATTCATCTAATACGTCGTGGGACGAGCGCGACACGATTACGAAACGAACGGAACCGTGACATTGTTTTCTAACATTGCGACATCGCTAACTCGATTCAATTCCGACTGGTTCAGACATCAAAAATTTTTTTTGTTATAGGTTTGACAATAATAACTGTCATATTTTCAATAAATCACGCAATATTATATTGTAATAATACTAAGGTCCAAACCCGTCCAAATCCGTCGTCGAGACGTCCAAATCCGTCTCCTTTAAATTTTTGTACCGGCTTGTTAATCCGTAACAAAAGGATTAACAAGCCAGTACAAAAATTTAATGGAGACGTCTTTTGATTATCTGGCCCTCTAAACAAATGGCAAGCAAATCCATTAATGAAATCATCATCACTTGTGAGTCTATCAGATAGAATAAATTAGCAACATCTGATGTCTCATTTCAATTTAAGGACTCGCTTACGATAACCATTTATTTAATTTTGTTGTTTGCCACTTGTCTAGACAGGCTGGTTGTTATCTGAACTTGAAGATCTTATATACAATTACAAGGTTTTTTTTCTTTTTTAAGCCAGTATAGTGTTATATAATCTGTAATACCAGTATACTACCACAGAGCGAGTAATCACTACTATTACGAACTATTTCAGTCGAACTGGATTTTCTAGCAATAATATTTAAATTTATTATAAAAATAATACTTAGACTACTTACCCCAAGGGGAAGGCTTATGTTCAGCAGTGGACAGTTAAAGTCTGATATGATGATGATGAATATTTAGATAGATGTTGTAATTTGTAGATTAATAAAATCAGTTAACATATTTTTAAGTATATGTATTTGTCATAACCGTATGGGTTTCTATATCACACCCAAAATATAAGTGAATTTATTTAAAGAAATATGTCAAATAAAAAGTAATTAGCTCACCTCGCCTCGTTCACGAATCGTGAAGTATTAATGCCCCTTTATTTTATCTATGGCAATGACGGCATTATTTACTGTCTCTGTCTCGACGAAATATCATTTTATACTTTTATAGTAAAAAAATCTAGAATATTGTTTGCGAGCAAAGTACAGTTCGCGGGTCAACTTCGGCCCGCACAGTGTTTTAACGACCCGTCCTGCTTCTTCATAACTACGACTATTGTTTGGTACTATTAAAACTATATACTAACAAACTCATTGACTTAAATAAATAGAATTATTTGTCAAAAAAATATTTAAAAACTAAACAACTAAACCGATTTTGATAAATTTTCTATGGAACTAATCTGTATTTATTTATTTATAGTAGTATATAGTAGGTATATCCTTACAAATAAAAAAATAATTTTTTAATTCGGTTTAGAACTGATAAATGTAACTGATGAGGTAACTACAGAGGTAATAAACTTAAAAAAAAATAACTGAGAACATCCTTCTTTCTGAAGTGGATTGAAAAATACAAACGACCTAACTTTAGAAACAGTAGATAAACGTGAAAAAGTTAAAGAGGTAAAAAAACATTGTAGAAAAATAAAGACAAAAAAAAACAAAATGACCTGAAAGTCATGAACAATAGAATATTTAAACTTCAGATTATAATTTAAACCCATGGTTAAGGAATAGACCTTTACATTTTTTTTTATTTTGTTTAAACTTTGGCTCGCTTTGCGTTTGAGGTCTACTACGTTTATCTGGGCCGCGAAGAATAGTTTGACTAGAATGTTACAGAAACTGATAACTCTGATAACATTAAAAAAGCCGTAAAGGAATGTCTTTGACATAATTGTTTATAATGTTTTAATTGATAATAATATGCCTACTAGGTATCTAACGTATCAAATTATTGTATTTTAGTTAAGTATAACATAATTGTGTGTTACATTAATTTTAGATGAATATAACAAAAAATATACAAATACTTAATCTCCGTCCGTATTATACTATATAATTGGACTGCTAAAAATGACTAACAAAGTAGCTATAGTAACAGGAGCAAATAAAGGACTTGGTCTCGCTATAGTAAAAGGTCTTTGTGAGAAATACGATGGAACTGTATACTTGACATCACGGGATACGAAAAGAGGACGAGACGCGTGTGAGGAATTGAAAAAAATTGGATTACACCCAAAGTACTATCAACTCGATGTCACTGACAATGATAGTGTAAGAAAATTTTGTACATTCATAAAAGAAGAGCACAAACAAATTGACATTGTTATAAACAATGCCGCGATATTGTTTCTGAAAGATGCCGAAGAACCGAGATTGTATCAAGCCGAACAAACGATTCTGGTGAATTTCACTGCGTTAGTAAATTTTTGTGAAGCCATATTGCCTATGATAAAAGTTGGCGGGAAAATTGTCAACATATCCAGTTCCTCGGCACATTTATCTAGAATACCATCAGAGAAACTACGAAATATAATCAGTTCACCAGACTTAACGTTAGAAGCGTTAAAAGAATTAATTAGTGGATATGTAGAAGCAGTGAGAGAGAATAAAGATATCGAGGAGGGTTGGGGAGATTCTCCGTACGTGGTGTCCAAAGTTGGAGTCAACGCCTACACATTCCACTTGCATCGTAGATTAGCAAATAGAGGTAAGTTAAACCACAATAAAACATATATATGCCTATGTATTCGCCATGTAATCCAAGAAAGTTTTCTTTCCTGTGGCTGCCGTAAGATTTTTTTTTTATACTACTTAGAATGGCAAACAAGCTGACGGGACTACCTGATGGAAAGCGGTAACCGTCGCCTATAGACATGAACAGTACCATGGACATAACAGAGTATACTGTTTCGCCCATGACACCCCCATACGTTGCCCTTCCTGAGGACTCAGGTGTTATTCCTCTGTACCCTGTAAATTCACGCCATATCCCACCCTTCAAACCGAAACACAGCTATGCAAACACAACTGCTTCACGGTAGAAACACGAATGGGACAGAGGTACCCAAGCAATCGACTATTGTACAAAGTCTCCTCAATTGCGACTGAGGAAACTTAATGGTCGAGAGATATGCAGTAACGTTACTCTTAAAACATCACCAAAGCCTAACTGCGGTTGCTAATCCGTTTGCCAGGCGTGGCAACTACTAGCAAAACCTCTCTTATGTTCAGGAGTAGACAGTTAACAGCTGATATTTTTTTTTTTAATGGGTGATAATGGAATGGTAACCCCACCTACGCTATCGGGATACGCTGGCGGGACACCAGTGAGGGATGATAGGTAAGGATGAAAAGGCAAGTTAGTTAGCCCGTCGTTCCACTAGAATTAACCACGATGGTTTCCAGGGGGAACCGCGTGAAATCGTACGCGTTTCCAGGGGAAAACTAATAGGATATATTGCTAACAATGGTTCAATTAGACCACTTTACTAACAATCGATTTTCCCGGCTGATAAATGTATACATATGTAATATAATACTACCTATTATTTATTAGGATTAAATACTCATTATGTCATACTCATTTTTTCTTTCAAAATTCGAAGAAAGCAGGTTTTGGTCTCAAAGCAGACAACGATTGTATTGTACGGGTATCAAACCCGTACAATACAATTGGAAAGTGAAGATGTGTCAAGGAAACGTGAATCTGGTGGAAGAGAAGGACATAAGTTATTTTAAAGCCCGTTCAGTGAACATATCCGTTCAGTGAACTAAATGAATTCCTATCCAAGAATGATCTTTTTAATCCCTTCCAATCAGGTTTCCGTGCCGGTCATAGTACGACTACTGCTCTTGTCAAAATCACCGACGATATCCGTCATGGTATGGAAAACTCACAGCTTACGGTTTTAACATTGTTAGACCTAAGTAATGCTTTTAATACTGTCGATTTTGATATATTATTAGGAAGATTGCGTTCTCTCAACATATCTCCAGCCGTAATCGAGTGGTTTCAAAGTTACCTGAATGGGCGCCAGCAACGCATTCGTACTGAAGATAGCTCTTCATCATGGTGTCGCACGCTAGCTGGTGTACCTCAGGGTGGCGTCTTATCTCCTACTTTTTTCGTTATTTATTAACACCATCACTATTCAACTTCGCTCTTCCTACCACCTTTATGCAGATGATCTTCAAATTTACTCACACGCTCCATTTCATGAGTTAGACTCTGCGATATATTCAATGAACAAAGATCTGGCACACATTTCGAGCTGGTGTAAATCATTTGGATTAACTGTAAACCCTAATAAAACGCAGGCTATTATTATCGGGAGCCCCAACTATATTTCAAGAATTTGCTGGGAAAATCTGCCTAATATAATGTTCGACGGGATATCTGTGGACTATAAAGATTTTGTAAAGGATCTCGGAATATATCTTGACAGAACGCTATCCTGGAGCACCCAAATAACAGAGATTAGTAGGAGGGTCTTTGCGATTGTGGGCTCATCAGAAGATTACGTAATTTTTTACCTATGGCCACTAGAGTTGCGCTTGCTCACTCCCTTGTCCTTCCTGTCCTTGACTATGCTGATACCTGCTACATTGATCTCACTGAAGACCAACTTAATAAACTTGAGCGTCTCCAAAACCTGTGTATTAGATTTATATTTGGACTTCGTAAATACGACCACATCTCTAATTTTCGCACTCAGCTCAAGTGGCTCCCAATACGTCGACGCCGAGATTGGCATATATTATCTCTTCTTTATTCCATTCTATTCAATCCTCTTACACCTCACTATCTTAAAGAGCGATTTATATTTCTCGGTGAAGTTCAGAGTCACGCTTCGCGTACCTCAAATAGTCTCCGTTTAAAAACCCCAGCACATACCTCCGTGTACTACACCAAATCCTTTTCCGTTCAGGCAGTGCGCCTATGGAACTCGCTACCACCGTCTATACAGAGTGCGCAATCCTTGGCTTCGTTTAAAGGACAAGTCAAATCACATTTTCTTTCACTGTAGTTACTCTTTTCCACTCCTTTGTAATTTTTGGACTAGATTTGTCATATTTCCTTGTGTGTGCTATGTATGTATTTATATGTGTATGTTTATGTATTTTGTATGTATGTTATACATATATTGTTATAGAAAGTAGTTTAATAAATTATATGTATTTAATATTTTTGTGCATTACATGTTTTTGTATTTTGTGCACGAAAATTGTTGATTCACTCTTGCGCCACCTGCCCTTTTTTATCTGTTCTCCCTTATCTAAAGGTTGTCTGTAAGAGATTGCCCTAGCGATAAGACCGCCTTTTGTACCTTTATGTGTATATTTCAATCTGTATTTATGTTACTGTATTTCATTTGAATTATTCACTTGTCATTGTATATTTTTATTTATGGTGCAATAAAGAGTTAAATAAATAAATAAATAAATATCCTAATCTAGCGAAGTCGCGAATAAAAGGTAGTCCTTTTTTTAAAAGATGAAAATGGTATGATGGTATCCCCGCTTGCGGGGGAAAAGGGTTGTTAGTAATGGAATCTAATATCGCCACTTCTAGCAATATACTCTACAGGTTGACTTCCACGCGATTTCCCTTGGAAACCATCGTGGTTTATTATTGTGGAAATCTTCATGTTAGGCTACCTAACCTGCTTTCATTCCACTGAGGGAAGGGATTGTTAGTAATGGGGGTCTAACTGCCCATTGCTAGCAATATACCCTATCTGGTCAACCTCCACGCCAGGGGGGAGGACAGAGATTATTAGTAATGAGATAAACAGACTTATTACTAGCAATATACCCTAACAGGTCGACCACCGCGTAGTTCTCCCTGGAAACTATCATAGTTAATTCCTAATGAATTCATCATGATGGGCTAACTGGCCTGTTTTCATTCTCATCTATCACCCTTCACTGGTGTTCCGCCAGCGTATCCCATTAGTGCAGGCGGGGTTACCATTCCATTTTCACACATAAAAAAAAGAAACCTTCATGCGGTTTCCCCTGGAAATCATCATGGTTAATTCTAGTTAAATTCGTTAAGATGGAGTAACTAACCTGCTTTCATCGTCATCTATCATACTTCACTGGTGCCCCGCCAGCATATACCGATAGCTATGACGGAATTACCATTTCATTATTACCCCCTTAAAAAACCCTGCTTTTATCTTCACCCATTATTAACGCGTCCTCTACCAACATACATAGACATAGCAAGCAAGATTACTACCCATTCTCATCCATTAAAAAAGTAACCCCGCTCACGCTTTCGGTATATACTGACAAGTAACAGTGTTATTAACCCTTAATAGCCTGATTTTTTAACTCAAATTAAAAAATATATGTGTTTTTAATAATGGGGAAAAATAGTAAAAAAATCAAAACAATATTTTTATATATTTATTTTAAAAAAACATTTGGTAACATGTCAACAGCCAAATATTAAAATAAATGCGATTTATAACCCCGGTATCAAATTTGAAACTTCAGGTATTTAAGGGTTAAAGGATGGAGTCGGGTCAGTTTGTCTATAGTGACACATTTTTCAGGAATAAACCACGATGGTTTCTAGGAACAACCATGCGGAGATCGACTCGTTTGATAGAAATTAGATTGTTAGAACTCAATAAGTACTAACAATCCCTTACGCTAGGCGAGGTTAGCATTTCATTTTCACCCATCAAACCCCGTTTGCGCTATCAGTATTCGCTGGCGGGGTACTAGTAAATGAAGAGTAAAACTAAGTTACTCGGCTCCTCGTGAAAAAATTCGTCTGAATTTAACGACAATAGTTTCATAGGGGGACCGCCTAAGTTCGTTTTCATAAGGTATATTACTAGCAATACGGCAGCTAATCTCCGTCATTAGGGGGAAGACATGGATAGTCATGGGGAGTAACAGACCCTTGCTAGCAATATACACTGCCAAATCGACCTCCTCGCGGTTCTCCCTGGAAACCGTTGTGCTTAACTTCAGGTGAATTTATTACGAACTAACCTACCTTACATCCTCACGTATCATCTCTCACTGGTGCTCCGCCATCGTATACCGTTAGCGCAGGTGGAGTTACCATTCCATTATCACTTATTACAAAAATCTTCATTACTTACAATAAATAAATAAATAATAAAGATGTAAATAAATCAATCAATAAAATCCCTTTTCCTCCTGATACTGTTATTAATACTTACGTGACGTACTCAGGTATAGTTGTAAACTGCGTGCACCCCGGCTATGTGATGTCGGACATGACGCGCGGCGGGGGAAACGTGTCCCCGGAGCAGGGCGCCATGCAGCCGCTGCTGCTAGCACTAGAGTCCCAGACTGGCGGCCGCTACGTGTGGCACGACGGCACAGAGGTACCCTGGGACGGACCCGACCCGAGAGGATACATCGACGGCAGGCAATGACGTGCTATAGTACATTAACTTCTTATCATTTGATATTAAGCTCTTTTTCGAATAAAGTTTTGATATAAAACTGTCCGTATGGAATATATTATTTCAGTTAATCATGCTAATGTTTATCTTATATAAAAAAAAACCGTGTCACAATGATCATTCACGTAATCCCCGAAATTGCTGAACCGATTTTAATATCTATTGTTTGCTTCGATTTGACTGTCTTTATCTGGATAAAAAAAATGGGCCCCGTAGCGTAGCAATAAAGATTTGCCGGGTTTAAGAGCTCAGAGTACCTCGTGTAAGCCGTAAGCATGAACGAATGTTTTTTCATCCACGGTCGTAAGGTACCTATAGTAAAAACTTAAAGCCGGTGGTGAATAGGTACCTTCTAGATAAGCACGTTACTTTTTAGATTTTATCGTCACTTTCAGATATCTATGAACCCATTGTGCGATAAAAAACCACTATAACCCGTCTCATTACATTTTCTTTTTATTTATTTATGGTTCTCTCATTATTACAGCCCGCCTCATCATTGGCATGGTTACCATAACAGATTGCAATTACTATACTTATATAAAAATACATTTTAGTAAATTTTGCTATCTTAGAGAAAAAGATAACAAAATCTTTTGTAACTGTCATTTTCTTAGAAAATATGGAGAAAATAAAGCCACTACCCTAATTACTTGCAAACTGATAAATTCCGATATATAGTTTATATTTGAGACAAGACACTTTAAATTTTTATCTGGATTTACTGATTATGGAAAAAGATGTATAGCTAGCAAAATAAAAGGTTTTGATGCTAATAGAGCTTATTTCTTAGAAAGAACAAACGACGACATGGCAAACGAGTGACGATCAAAATAATAAATTTAGTATATTAAAGATAGAACTCGTGTATGTTCGTGTATCTTGGCGGCATACACTACGAGAGCTTTCGTCCTGTGTGGACAAAACGCTCGACTGTGCATTTTTTCATAATTTAATATGTACTTATATGTTTTTATATATTTATACAATACCTCACCTACCTACCTACATCGTTCCATCTTATTAAGACGCATGTATACGTGTAAGTGTCTTATATTAGATATAGAATAACAAGAAATTATGAAACCTTCATTAAAAGTTCTATGATAAGCATAATTTCCAGCTAATCTACATATCGAGTGGTTTTGTTGCGAGATGGAGGTGTTTCCATTAAAAGAATGAATATAATTCTTGCTTTAATTTAATGATCTTCATGATTAATGGCTCATTAAGGTACAAATGGAACAGCGAGTTATTGGCATCTCGTTTTAATATAGAAAATATAATCTGTCATAACAGGGATATGATTCTAATAAATATATAATATATAACGAATATACATATAATATGCGTTGTGAAACGAAAATAAAAATTAGATAAATTTACAAAGAAATATGATAAATCAAAACGGGGACAGCGAGCTGAGACTGTGCGTGAAAGAATAAAATCAAACTTTCTTTAAATAAAACAAATAGGTTAATTTATTTTACAAATTCCTTTGTTATCATATTTCTCTCGTTAAAATATGCTCTTCTTAATACAAAGATTTATCGATCACATCACCAACGGAAAGAAACAATAATATTACTGAATAGAAAATATAATATCCGCTGTCTGAGACGTATTAACTTTAGATTGCACTCGTTTACTTGGCGTCGATGCACTCGGCGGGGTGCTGAGGGGGCTTTGCGGGGGCGAAGCCCGGGGGCAGGGGGATGTTGTTGTACGCGACGCCACCCCACTGCAGCGGCAGCTTCTGGCTGCCGACACTGTGCCACTGGTGCTGCAGCAGCGGTACCGGCAGCTTGTTCACGCCGTTGGGCTGCACACCCAGCTGGTTGAATTTGGCGAATAGCTCCTGCTGTTGCGCGTTGAGGCTCTGCTGTGGCTGCTGAAGGTTCTTGCCGAAGTTCACTGATGTCGACATGATCGCTGGGTCCATTTGTGTCCAGTCTGAGAACATGGCGCTATTTGAATTGTAACCTGCAATCGATAGGTTTGTTTGACATCAACAATACTGACTTAAGGGTATTTTTTTAATAGACGAAAATTCCTATGGCAATCCCGATTGCCTAATCAGAATATTCTGGTAAGGTACAAGTGAATAATGATAGATGAGGATGCGAACTTAGATCATGAAGCAAGTCAGTTGGTCCATCGTGGCGAATTCACCAAAAATTAACCACGACTTCCAATGGGGATCAAATAGATACTTAAAAAAGAAAGCGACTTAAAAAGAATGATGGCGGTGGGCACGCCGAAATGTCGCCAACATTTTATCAAGTGATTATTCACCACAATGACAAAAACAGTCAACAAATAGCTCCAACTACTCAAATAGGAATTGTAGTTGTAAGAATTTATATATACAGGTGAAACAGAAGTCGTTAGCTATACGTAAAAATTAAGAATGCACCCTAAATATTATATCCATACATGTAATATTCAAAAACGACAAATAATTTTGAACCTCCCATACTAACTGACGAACTGGATGAGTACTGCTTTACTATCAGTGGCCCAAAATTACTCATGTTTCTTTGATTGTGTTCAGTTTGACTGCTAGAATATTCCCTTCGAAGGCATGCTAACGATTTCTATTTCAGCCTGTATAATGGTCTGCGATGTAGTGTGTCGGTGTGTCACCTTGATGTTGCTGGTGGCGCGGCGGCTGGCCGAAGCTGTTGACGGGCCCGAAGCCGGGCGGCGCCATTCTGGCGGCGGCCGCGCCTGGCCCGCCCGCACGCCGCACGCGATCCATACTGTCACTGCAAATACACAATAATTTCATACAACTTGATACATAACTGCAGATGGCTCAGGACCGTTTCTTATGGCAGTCTATGGGGGCAGCCTGTGTTCAGCAATAGACAGTTAATGGCTGAAATAATGATGATGATGATACATACTAGCTTTTGGCCGCGACTTTGTCCACGTGACCTGCATGTGTTCACTGACCAAAATAAAAAGTAGCCTATGTCATTCTCCATCCCGTATAGTACCTGTATACTAAATTTAATTGTAATCCTTTAAGCCATTGAAGCGCCAAGAGGTAAAAACAAACAAATCCACTTTCACGTTTATAAAATTAGTAAAGATAATGATCTTTCTTGAGTAATCACTGTCAGTCAATTGATAGAGTGACTATCTCAAAAATGTCGAAAAGAATTAGGCATTGTGCTTCCCTACTATATTATCGACTAAAACCGACATGATAAGGCTTAATTTTTTTTAGTATTTTGACACATACTTGTATAGATAAAACCATTCCATTTTACCTAAAACTCTAACACGCCAATTCAATAATGTGTATGAACCGGTTATTACAATATGATCATAGTCCATAGGTTTTCTCTACAGACTACAGTATGGGGTTTTTCAAAAAGGGTTAAGGTTTCTTCAGGGTCGACAACGCGCACGTGACACACCTAGTGTTGCAGGCGTACATAAGTTACAATAACTGTTTACCATCAAAAGGACTGTATGATTGATTGCCACCTTCATGGTATATAAAAAAAAGCTGTTTTCCATGGTTTTCAACACTAACAAGACTTAGTTTTTTTCTGCACAATACTTTCTACTGCAACTTTACATGCACTTACCCGCTAGAGACGGTATTCTGCATCATTTCGTTCTCCATGAGCTCCGCGAGGGCCTTCTGTGTCTCCTTGAAGGGGTCAAAATCAAGATCATCGTCCCCGTCGCCAGCGGCACGCGAGCCCGTTCCCATACTCACGCCCATGCCTTCCCCTACTCGCATGTTGTTCATTCTGAAAATGACCGTTTAATTGTTTTAAAATGCTGTTGTAATATGGTTATAGTTAGAAGCGCCGTTTTGTTTAAAAGTTTAAAATAAACAAATTTTAACCCTTAAATACCTGAAGTTACAAATTTGATACCGGGGTTTGCATTGTTTCATTGTTACATAAATTTAAATATTTTGATTACCGTAATGTCTAAAGTATCAAAAAAAAATTTTTTTTTAATAAATATATATAAAAATATCGTTTTGATTTTTTTTTACTACTTTTCCCCATTAGTAAACACAGTAAAGGGTACACTTTTATATATTTTATTTTAATTTGATTTAAAAAAATCAGGCTTTTAAGGGTTAAAAGATGACAGTGATAAGGGACGCTGCTGCCCATCCCTCGCCCTCCCTAAATCGGTTCTTACTACACCCACTGGAAAGGTAGGGGTTCCAGTAATATGTAGTATTATTTATTAATTGGTGAATTATTCTTGCAAAATAAATTTATTATTTAATTAATTCTTGATGGCGTATCAAGATAAAATATACACCACATTTTAAATTAGACCTTCAGGAATGCGACTCTGAAAACCGTATCCCTTTTGCTTCAGAAGTTTTTGCCTGATGCCTGAACCAACATACAGATACACTGATATTTTTTTTTTACATTCCATATTGCTGCCCACGTTGTCTAATTAAAATTTTATCCCGAGTTTGCCATTAATTTTCACCTACAAATACTACACATTCGACGTGCAAACGGTACCTCTGTTTGTGTTCCATCTCAAGCCGTTCAGCACTGAGCATATTGTGATAGAGGGGTTGCGGTTGTGACAATGGTGACGGCTGGTGCTGTTGGTGTGGCTGTGGCTCCACGTAACACTCCTCGGACCGTGACAGCAGTAACCGCCGCTGCTGCGCCTTGTGGAAATCGGTGAAGAACTTGTCCATGTTCTCTGCCAGGTATCTACCCTCGTTCTGTAATAATAACAATATTTATATTTCACAATCTTACATTATGGTTAAGGTTGCCATCTGTCCGGGTTTCCCAGGATGTATCCTAGTTTAGAGGGTATCCTGGAACGTCCGGGTGGGGCTAATACAGGTTTAGAAATTCAAAAACTTGGGTTACTAAGATAACTAAATAAAATGACTTAATTTAATTTTAATATATAAAATTAAATAAAAATGTGATTTATAACATTTTTAACTGTTTTTTATTACACTATGTTTAAAAAAAACTGTTGATATGTCCAGGTTTAGGCTCTTAAGTCTGGGTTTTCACGCGTTTTGTCCTGATTGCCAAATTGCAGATTGTAAATTGAGATGGCAACCCTGATTATGGTAATAATCTAAATATGGTTATAATATAGGGTTTATAACAGATACACTATTCTTAGTTATAATGATATAAATGTTAAAGTGAGATTGTTTGTAACCCCTTAACGTCTTAATAGTTTAACCAATTACTATGAAATTTGGTACACATTATGAGTTGGAGAAGAACATAGGCTATTTTTATCCTAGACTGATCATATCCGGTCACGTGAATGAAGTTGTCACAAGATTTGAATAGGTATATCGTAACTTAACAAATAGGATACTTTGTACTACTGATTCATGCAAGCAAAACTGCGGGTAACAGTTACTAGTGTTATATATATAAAAAAAAAATCAACTTACAGCTGTCTGTGGCCCATCAAATCCATTTACAAGACCTGACTGCAACTGTTGATTTTGCAACAACTGTTGATTGTGAAGCATGAACCCTCCCCCAATTGAGTTGGCTGCCAGCCCCATCGAGTTTGGAACGCCAGCGGCCATATTTCCTATATTAGCTAGGGAACTGGCCGACATTGTGGTCGATAGAGTATTGCCTAGTGAACTTGTGCCCAATGAATTGTCTACCCGCATACCGAACGGTGGAAGCATATTGGGATTTGGATGATAATTAGCACCTGAAAGTAAAAAAGTTTTGGTTTTATTAATCATTTAACAACACATTAAAATCTTACTATACTAAAATATTGTAAAGAGACAGATATACGCCTTATTAGGTCATGTGGTTCCCCCTGGAGATATAGATGAAGGACGATAGCCTAATATTATCATCCATAAAAAAATAAATAAAAAAAACTATACTAAAATAATTGTAAAGAGACAATATTTATGCATGGGACATATAGATAAGGAAATCTAATATTAGGGATCTTAATAAGATCAATAGATGCCAAAACTATTATTTTTCAGAAAATTTGTTTGTCTGTCTTAACATTTGTTTACAGGCATTACGTTAAAACTAAAGCACGAAATAAGATGACGATTTAACAGTTGTTTCTAAAAGTTTAACTTAAAATCTCGAGTATGTTTTATCTTGATAGATCATCTAGAATGGTCTATTTCATTAGTTTACCTACTTTTAAAATTCATGCGTACATAGGTAAAAAATACAGAATGCCTATTTTTATGTTTCTACTACTAAAAAGGTGTCAACTTACATTGCCTTTCTATGTAGCCTTTAGTAGTGTAAACTGTTAAGATTACCACCACAAGGCAAATATACAATGCAATGCAACTATATTAAATAATAAGTATAAAGGCGAGGTAAAAAACAGACCTCGTGGCAAAATGTCGTATATAAGTAAATGCTACTTTTTTTTTTATTTTGTAACTAGAGAGAACATTTTACAAAATATTTCTCAGTGCAGCCCTAGTTATGAAATTACAATAACGATACTCCAAAAGCCTTACCTAACATTTCACTAGAAGACTCGAGTCCTATACTAGAAGCGGGTAGATAGTGTTTGTGCTCTATCGCGCTGCGCTGTCTCGCCAACAGTTCGTTCTGTCTCATTAGCATTTCATTTCTATTCAGTTCTTCCCTTCTCATATCCTTGGGAAGTGTTATTTTTTGACTAATTTGATTAATCTGTCTATCATTACCTAGATAACTGACTGTATCCCTGTCTAATATACCGTAACCATTTAATATAGGGCTCTTCATATGCGGCGGTAAATTATTACTATCCACTAAGCCTGCAAACATTTCTTTGTGCCTCAACATCATGATCACATCATTGTTGCTATCGTTAAGAAGGTTATGGCTGTCGTCGTCTTCTAAGAGGCCGTGGTCACTATTGTCTAACAAGTCGTGATTCTCTAGCAGGCTGTGTCTATCTGATTCCAATTCGTTCAATTCATTTGATAAATAACTTGTGTGATTCTCGTTTTCGAACACTGATTGTTCTTGTGTGCTGTTCTCTGCGGGTTTTGGCTGTGGTTCCGTTTCTGTTTCGATTTCGTTTATACTATTATTGCTACTCTTTTGTTTTTTCTCGGATTTACTCTTTTTTGTTGGTCCATTTGTGCTGTTATCCTTATTGCTTCTGTTCGTTTTGTTCTCTGTGTGCTCCTTGTTGTTTTGTTTCGTTTGAGCCTGTTGTTGTGTGAGTGTGGGACTTGAGGATTCTGATGTGCCGTTTTCTTGTGACTTAACTGTAAAGAGAAGAATATATTTTACAAATTAGCAATCTCTAACACCACATGTAAATTATATTATTATTACAATAGTTACTCAATACAAGAAACAGGGTCAGTCAGAATCAAATGCCAAAAACTTCTGTCCTTACATACATTGCTTACTTCATTTATTTTTATAACTTGTCCTACGAAGAATCTTCACTCCTTTTCAGATACCAAACAGCCTACATACATAATAATATAGTTAATCTGAACTATATTAGTTTATACCTCTTTGACTGCACTTTAGCTGCGTCTTGCCACTTTAGCAATGTATTTCGGTTTTTGTAATTCATCATATCCATACCGCAGTCTAAAAAACTCCCTCCTACCAGTCGTCCAACTAGTATGTCTAGACAGTGTAATGTATCCCAAATGGTAATGTAATCGTTCGGAACTAAAATATTGGACCACTAGTTGTTCTTAATACAAAATATTTTTCTTTAATTCCTTTAGCGAAACATTCTTACCTGTAGACTGTTGTGGCTTAGGACTGGGCTGTTTTCTGGCTGGACTGTCTGATGGTGGCGAGGAACCGAGGCTAGGCCACGCTTCTTTTCCACTACCATTGCCAATTCCATTCGTTCCATTACCGCTACCTTTATCGCTGCCGCTTGCACTGCTACCACTGCTACTATAATAATAATTAATAAAATAATAACAAACTAATTATATAAACAGGTAATTAAATAAACAGGTTTACAACTATAACCTCTAATATGAAGCTTAAGGGGAAGAAGATTATTAATAATAGAGACTAATGACTGCATTGACTTCCACGCAGAAACTATCTTAGTTAATTCCTGAGTTCATTCTCATCTGTCATATGGTACTCCGCCATCGTATACCGATAGCGTAAGCGAGGTAACCACTCTATTTTCATCCCATTAAAAAAAAGGTGAAGCCAGAGGACCCACCATTGTTTTATACAATTCTGCCATGTTATATTAACTAAAATCATCAATCATTGGTGTGATGTTGACCACCACTAGTAGAGGTTCTACAACCTTCCTAATCATTAATTACACAAATGATCTAAACGGATGTTATGATTTGTAAAAAAATAAAATAATTTAATTAAATAATACAGTTTCATTGTAGATAGATGCACTCCCTATTAATACATTCAAAGTGTCATGTCATAAAGCTAGTTTAATCAGTAAATAATTTTGAATAGTACAAAAATAATATGTAGTTGGTATTTAGTCATAAATTATCGTTAAATATCCTGATCATCATCATTAACCCATAATACCCACTGTTAGCAATTATACGCAAATCTTTGCGCCATCTTTGTATGACCTCATCGACGTTAATGGTTTTTTTTTTCGAGAGTATATTTAATTATCACTAACAACTCACCCCGAACGTAGATTCGAGACAATTATATCGATTCCTTTGCAGTCAAATAGGAAGGAGACTTATTAAGCAGAAGAGTAGCAAATAATACAATGCTTAGTGCATTAAAGGAGCTAATCACATAGGTGAACGCGATCCTTGAGATCAAAACATACTCACTTAGATGAATTGACTATGTTTATATTAGATGATGTGACCACTAATGTCGGTGTAACGTTCGACTGATTACCTGCAATTTAAAAAAAAGTCTGCATTAGATTTTACCTCTATTGTTTATTGTTTTAGAGCTTACTAGCGACATTTCTTTTTTTTTTTTGTGTGTGTGTGTATAAGTTTTTTTTGTGTATTCACATTTATACCGATATCAGATTAAAAAGAAAATAACAAGGTACACAGGTGGATCCTTTGAAGGGATTTGTTACAATCAACCTTGAGAACCCAAAAAGAGAAAGTATCTATTATGAATTGTATATAAAGCGTAACATACAGTGAATAAATTATAATTTGTTTAATTGTACTAAAATATTTATCATTATCTACTACTGGCCAGCAGGCACTGTCCTAGCCAAATATCAATACTCAATTATTTTATCGTATAATTTTTTTATTAATCGTATTATTGGGATCAAAATTTCTTTGAAGGTTCCCACCTCCAAAGATATGTTATTAGTTGGGGAATGGGAATTCTTAGTGAAATGAGTGTCCCTTGCACCCATCGTGCCTAATTCTTGGTGCGATCACCTCAATAGGTCAACGAACCTGACTACGTCTTCATCTATCATCCTGTACTAATTTAAAGATTTGAAAAGGACAATTATGATCTGTTAAATTAAATTTAAATTCGTTATATAGTTTGAAATGCTCACCATCTTTTGAACTGCCTTTTTCTGCGCTCGTACTAGAGTTACCTGTGAAGGAGGTAGTTTAAATTATAATAAAGTAGTACAGAATCGACATGAGTAACAATGTTTGTATTTTGCAGATGCTGAAGCCACAACTATTGAAAATTAAGGAAATGTGATTAAACTACTACACCACTAAGATCTTATACTATTCAATAATCTTTTTAGATTACACTATATTCTTTGTTTTATAACCATTATTTACTTGTACCCACTCACTATATGCAGAAATTATAAATAAATAGATATTTATTTTGCAGACATTTACATATGCCAGGTATGGAATCTATAGGTCATTTAAATGTAATTAGGTTTTAACACACTATCACATATTATCATTTGTTTTTATACAATACATGGACAATATCTGTGTGCGTGATAATAACATTATGATAATGTGATAATGATAAGGACTTTGGAATTGATAATAAATGTGTTTACAAACAAACTCATTTGAATATAATGTATCATCATCAGTAGCCGTTAACTGGCCATTGTTGAGCATAGACTTCCACTTATTAAGGGTTTTAGTAATAGTAAATGCCATGCTTAGCTGATTGGCAACCACAGTTATTATTTGGTGTTATTTAAAAAGAAACCCTGCTGCCCATCCCTCCATCCAATACAATGTAAAATAAACCAAAATGTTATCAATTCCAAAAGTTATAAAATGCATTAACTAAATTGTGAAAACCCATAATTTATATATCGTCATAGTCATAGAATACTGACAGATCTATATATGTAATATTTGTCAGATCCGTCAGTATTCTACGACTATGACGATATATATATTTCAATGTAATTCAAAAGCGTAGACGTAGTTATCAATCCATGTTTATAAACTACACTATACCATCAGGCAACCCCTTAAGATTAAATATCATTCTTGTTTACTTATTATTTTACTCTATCACCAATCTACAAGGTGAAATGATAGAAAAGGCGGTGTTATAGCTAAGCTATTCTAGATGGAGGGAAAGAGATTGTTTGTAATGAGGTTTAACTGACCCATTGCCACCAATATACCCTATCAGGTCCACATCCACGTGGTTCCCCCTGGAAACCATCGTAGTTAAATCTAGTGGAATTCGTCACGATGTACTAACTTACCTGAATTAGCGATAGCGCAGTCGGGGTTACCATTACATTATCATCCAATAAAAAAAAGCATGAGACGGTAGACGACTTGCACAAAAAAATATATATACCTGAACTATTATTACATTGTTTGTCATCAGGTTTATCCCGCTGCGCCTGTGATAACTGATTGTGGAGCTTGCGTTCGTAGACTTGATGAAGGCCTGCATGCATCTCCTCCTTAGTAAATGATGCCTTTGGATCACCTGCAACATTCATAATCATTCACCATATCAGTCATTGATATTAATAAAAAACAACTTTAGCATACATGAACCTAATTGTTGGATTTCCTAAAACAAAGGTTTTTTTTTATACAACTTAGAATGGCAAACAAGCTGACGGTCCACCAGATGGAAAGTGATAACCGTCGCCTATAGACATGAGCAGTACCATGGACAAAACAGAGTGTACTGTTTCGCCCAGGATACCCCCATGCGTTGCCATTCCTTAGAACTCAGGTGTTATTCCTCTGTACCCTGTAAATTCACGCCATATTCCACCCTTCAAACCGAAACACAGCCATGCAAACACAACTGCTTCACGGTAGAAACACGAATTGGACAGAGGTACCCAAGCAAACGACTTTTGTACAAAGTCTCCCTCTGGTTGAATGATATGTTGACGCATTTGCTTCGTAAACGAATAATACTTATAGAAACTGGTCTGTTCAAGATTACTATGCCTGATTGTAAAATATAAGCTTTAAAATATATTTTACGGTATATTACAATCATATAATTTCTATTTACAGCCTATACAGATTATAACTTAGCGCAGTATCTAGTGGCGTAAATTAAAAGCTCCACCCCTTAAAACTACCATTGAGTTCCAATGAGGGCCCACGGATCGTGGGCTCTGCAGACTGTCAGTTACGCCACTACAGTACTTAATGGTCTTGAGCAGGTCTTCGAGCATCTCGAGTAAAACATGTCTCCTACTGACAAAAACGATTAAGGTAGAGTGGATTGGGTAGTACGTATATGTACCTAGCTCGTGCAGATACATGCAGTCCGGCTTGGGACAGGGCTGGTTTTTCATGAAGTTGGCGCAGTACTTGGTGGTCCCGAGCGAGCCCTTGAGCACGCGGCCGTCGAGCGTCACGTTGTTGACGCCCTGGATGGCTCGCAACGCGTCCGCCGGTGACACGTACGTCACGTACGCCGACGCCGACGGGCCCTGGACAACAAAGTATCGGTTAGTATCATTACATTATTCAGGAGATCATAAGTCGACACTGCCCTTATATTAGTGAAACTGGAAAATAAATCTATGCAACCACCTAGAATAACCAACACAACAAAATGAATTGTTAAACTATTTACAATAAACCTGTGTGATATTTATTCCAATGGAAAATTTTACACTATAAAAAAGCTAGGCATTTTAATACTTAATAATAATTTCATACAAATGTAATGTTTTAATCCAAGTAATATAGGCCTGAGAATGGTCAATTTATATACATTGTAATAGAGAAGTTTGTGCAAAATTCTGTGAAGTTGGTGCCACATAGAAATATGTTGACAAAACATAATAAATTTTGTCCACATTATAGCACAATAACAACCTCCTTGTAATAAACTGATAGAAAGCTTTCCTATTAAAAGGTAAATACATAGTAATTTACCATGTAATTAATAAGTGTAGTTATATTACGGGTGTTATTTGTGTATCCAACACAGTTTTGAATATAAATTTACAAATTATTTTAATATGTTCAAAGCAATGTTGGGAGGAAAGATATAAAAAAAGAATTAAGGAAATGAACAAGCGAATAAATAAAAAAAAAAAAAAACATTTAATAAAGCAATAATTATTTATGCCACCTACCAAAAGTTGATACGATTACTACCTGTGTCCCTGCATATGCAGTACTTTGGTTTATAACTACTTTGTGAATTTTTCCATATTTGCCAAAGTACTCTTGCCGTTTGAGAATCTGTAACAAAAAATTATCATATTATTTCTATTTTTCAGAAAACACTAATATTGTTGGGAAAATACTTTCGTAAATTGAAGATTTCATAGATATAGAATTTGCATATATTAAGCGTATCCTGCAGAGAACACACTACCGACTGAGAGGAACATATTAGCATAGGCGCATCGCGATTAGGTATAAAATAGCAGATCGCAAATACATTCTCACATTTTTCACGTTATATTGTTTAATTTATTGTAATACAAATAAATATTTCTTTTAGAGATACGTTCACCTATGTTCACATTATAATTCCATTTCACATAAGAAGTCTTAATTTTGAAGGCACTGAAGTCGAATGGAGAAAGGGGAGGAATAGAGAAGGGGCGACGTGAAATTTTCAAAAGTTTATAATTTATTGTAATATCAAATTTAAATTCAGAGAATAATGTGACAGAATCAATCTGAGTGCTGCATTCACAGATAAATATGTGTTTAGTTGTAGCCGATGTATATAATATGCTATAGCCAGATACCTCTGGGTCGGCGAGGCGGACGGGCAGCCCCACGACGAACACGAGGTTGTTCTGTACGACGCGCACGTTGGCGAGCGCGCGCCGCGACTCCATCGTCTTGTTGCGCCGCTTCTGCTCGCGAGCCTTCTTCTCCGTCTTTATTGCCGCCACCTGCACGAACACACACGCAAACATATACATTATATACATATTATAAACCAACCACATTGAGGGAAGTGATTGTCAGGTTAACCTCCAAATTGTTTTTCCTTCGAAACCATCAGGGTTAATTCTTGAAGAATTAGTCACGATGGACCAATGGACCTGCTACTAATTATTCTAATTATTATCCCTCATTGATCAGCCATCAGTGCATAAGGAGGGGGGGGGGATGTTTGTAATATATAATTGTGCGCCACCTACCCTTTGTCTTTTTCTCAATGTCCGCTACCCAAAGGTTGTCTAGAAGAGACTGCTTAGCGATAAAGCCGCCTTTTGTATCACTTCTCATTAATATTTACTGTATTTGTTATTACTCTTTTTACTTGATGCAATAAAGTGTAAATAAATAAATAAATGCTAGCAATATATCCAGTCAGATTAACTTCGACATGGTTCTCCCTGGAATTTATCATGCTTAATTTTAGGTGAATTCATAAAGATAAGCTAAATGATTGCTTTTCATCCTCTCCTATCATCCCTTACTGGTTGCTAGCTAGCGTATATCATTAACGCAGGCGGCGTTACAATTATATTGTCACCCATTAAAAAAAACACTAGTATATACCAACAAACAGTTTTTATTCCATGTCCATATAAAGTTATTAAATAACTTTATGCATCTAACAATCTCGGTACGTCATTTTCTTACGAAACTTTAAATAGTAAACAATTTGTTGGCTTACCTGATGGAAAATGGTACCTCGGGACTTAGTTTACTAAATGTGAGAATTTCTGTTCTTCTATGCTTTTGTTTTTTATCAAAATATGAATTGAATGAATAAAATAGGCGAATAACTAAAAAGTTTTATATTAATTCTATCTATCTACTAGACTAGCATATATCCTACTAGCAATAAGTCCACCTTTTGTACCTTATTGTATGAAGTTATTTAAATAAATATTAACATTATAAGTATGAAAATTTGTAACAATATATGGATATTTGTTACTCTTTCACGCAAAAATTACTCGACAGATTTGAATGAAATTTGATATGCAAGTAGATTAAATCCTAACTTAGAACATAGTATACTTTATATACTAATTTCGGCACGTAAAGCCGCAGGATATAGCCAGTTGATTATATAGTTTAAATAACTAACATCATGTTACAAGCATTTATTAAATATGCAAAATAAAGTAACAGATTGCAGAGTTAGTAAATTTACCTGCTCTTGACTGAGCGGAGTGAAGTCTGCAGGGTTCTCCGGGTACGCCTTCCGACACGCCGGACAGAGGCCGTTCTCGCCTTCCCGTATGCGGTTCCAGCAAAACCGACATATCTGAAACGTCCACATTGCTCTATATATATTTTATTTATTTATTGAAACTTAAATACACAATTATGTAAGTAAATGTACATAAAGCGGATTTGACAACTAACGACGTACTCTATAAATCAGCCACGAGGCAAATAGAAAATCCAGTATAGTAAATATATATATGTAAATATTAATTAGTCCCGCACATTTGCATACTGTACTTTTAACTAATATTCATTCAATTCAATTCAAATATTTATGTGTGAAATGTCCAGTATTAATATTATCATTAAGCGGACAATCATTATATCATATCAGCCTTTAATTGTCCATTGATGAAATTAAGCCCCTTAGGGGGGTTTGCCAATAGTTGCCACGCTTGGCAGACAGATTGGCAACCGCATTATGGCTTTGGAGATGTTTTAAGAGGTACGCTGCTGTCCATTCCTCGTCCTCCCTTAGTCGTCTTTTACGACATCCACGGGAAAGAAAGGGGGGTGAACTATTTCGGGACCACACGGCCAATGTGTAGACAATAATTAATTTTAAATTTCGCGTTGTTTACACATATTTTAAATACTCTATCGAGACTTAATGCGATAAAAAAAAATGTGTATTTAAAATATAGGTAATACGAGGTCTGTCCGGAAAGTTCGTATAAAAGTGTTCTGGAATGCGAGAAAGAGGAGTGGGGAGGCCAGGTAAGCGCAGGACCCCTTCCTTATGTCCCTAACAATGCTTCAGTTCTGGTCTGACCGCCGTGCGGTGCGAACTGGCTTGTCACGCCATCTGTGAAGTTACCTCTTAACGAAACCCCGTCGGCATGGAGCTTCCGTTGAAGAGCAGAATCAAGTTTCCTCGAAACTCGGCAAGAATGGCCGTGAAATTTTTGATCTCAGAACAGTTTATGGGGATGATGCTGTGAAGGAACCAACCGTCCACAAGTGGCTAAAAAGATTCAGAGAGGGCCGAGAAAGCGTTCAAGATGACCCACGTTCAGGACGTCCTTCCACTTCACATTCCGACGAAAACGTGGAAAGAATTCGAACTTGTGTTAATGGGGACCGTCGTTTAACGGTCAGACAGGTGGCTGAAGAGCTTAATTTGGGCAAAACCGTGGTCCACGAAATCAAATATAAAAAATATATAGTAAAAATTCCATTACGGTGACCGAACACCCCCCCCTATTCGCCGGATTTGTATTTAAAATATATTTGGTAATGATAAAAAAAGCTACGACGGGGCAGCTGAGAAACCTACAACCAGAGGACTAATAAAATAAAGTGCATTATGTCACAGGGGGAGTACTAAGGGGATAAAATTGATTTACTGAATAATTGTAAAATAAAATTTTTAAAAAACTTTTATACGTACTTTCCGGACAAACCTCGTATATTCTTAATAATATAATAAAATTGAAACTGAATGATGTCTGTAGATGTAAAAAAATAATTTTAGAAATTTTGGCTGTATGTCTGTTTGTATCTATGTTTGTTCCGGTATCACGCGAAAACTACTGCACCAAATTGGATGCGGTATTCACTATTGTATTTCTGAAGGTCTAACTGAAAAATTTGTGTATGCTTCATAATGAAACGCTATCTAGAAGTAATCTATTTCATTGGTTTTACTATTGCTTATATATAAAAAAAGCTAGTATAGTATAAACATACTTGATAACCACATGTGCACGGGTAGAAGTGAAGGTCGTCCACCTCCAGAGGTTCCATACACAAGGGGCATTCCACCTGAAAATAATATATACATTTTTGTCACAAAATTGAATTTTTTTTTATACAACTTAGAATGGCAAACAAGCTGACGGTCCACCTGATGGAAATTGGTAACCGTCGCCTATAGACATGAGCAGTACCATGGACATAAAAGAGTATACTGTTTCGCCCATGATACCCCCATGCGTTGCTATTCCTGAGGACTCAGGTGTTATTCCTCTGTACCCAGTAAATTCACGCCATATCCCACCCTTCAAACCGAAACACAGCCGTGCAAACACAACTGCTTCACGATTGAAACACGAATGGGAGATAGGTACCCAAGCAATCGACTTTTGTACAAAGTATTACGATTAGATTGAAACACCAATCAAGTAATAATATTCATAAAACTAAACAACTTCAAAGAACAAATTCAAAATTTCTAAATAAGCTTTAAAAGTTCTATCAAGTGACGTGGTCACGTGATCGATTTAGTATTTATTACATTTATTTTATCAGATTTATGGTCGCATGCAGCGCGGTATTGGAGAAACGAACACTTAGGTTATGGAATGAACTCCTTGTCGTTGTTTTTCCAAAAGACTCCAATATGGGGCTCTTCAAAAATGGAGTAGAGGTTTCTTCAAGGTCGGCAACGTGCGCGTAATGGCCCTGTATGGTATTGCTGGCGTTTATAAGCTACGATAACCGCTTACCATCTGGTAGGCCGTACGCTTGCTTGCCACCTCAGTGGTATAAAAAAAAATAAAAAAATATGGATTTTTTTAGACTGACTATTACTTTTGGAGCAACTTTTTAAGTTTCATTAATACTATCATTGAGCTTGGCTTTAGTATAACTTTTATATCTAACCCAGTATATATTTGAGATATTTAGAAAACGTATCTTCATGGCGAAATAGGTAATTTAAAAATTATGACAGTCTTATAATATTAGACAATAATACATTGAACTTAATCAATTAAGACAAAGATAATCGTGTTTAGGAAAAACCAACAATCTCTTTACCTGCTCTTCTCCACTCTGATTCAGCACTGACATCCTAATCCCGAGAGCTCAAGGTTCCGTAACTTCCAGTGAAATGCAAACCAATGTCAGCTTACACTGTAACCTGGAAAAAAAGATTTTATAATACAGATTAGACTATAGAGAATACAGATAAAAATAAAAAAAGTGTTTGGTCATATAAAATATATATGTATTAGGTATCCCACGACTTCACCCGTATGAATCAGTAAAGTAATCCATATTCTAAATTAGAACATAAACTACTCAGTTATCAAAATTAATTTTAATCCTTTTAGTACTTTTTACGTAAAAGAATAACAAACATTCATATCTATTTTTACAAACTTTCACATTTATAATATTAATAACATTTAGTTTTATATTTTCTGCTTTTATCAATTTAGTCCGTATTGATTTTACTATTAGTATTTTCCTCCATTAGTAATCGGATCTTAGATATATCGTCATAGTCGTAGAATACGGACGGATCTGACGAAGATTACATATAAAGATCCGTCAGTATTCTACGACTATGACGATATATGTCCGGTCCGTGTAGCAAATTTTTCGGACTTTCATTATCTTTATTTTATGCAACTTAGAATGGCAAACAAGCTGACGGCCCACTTGATGGAAAGTAGTAATCGTCGTCTATAGACATGAGCAATAGTATGGACATAACAGTATACTGTTTCGCCCATGATACCCCCCATGCTTGAGGACTCAGATGTTATTCCTCTGTACCCTGTAAATTCACTGCCATATCCCACCCTTCAAACCGAAACACAGCCATGCAAACACAACTGCTTCACGATAGAAATACGGATGGTACAAGGGTGCCAAACAAAAGCCTTCTGTACAGAGTCTCCTTCTGATATTTTATGTAGTTATAACACAGCGAATTATAATTAAATAATAAAATATGTACTATTTCTTTCAATAAACATGTGAATGCAATGAGGACTACATTCACAAAGTATCAAAAATAAAAAATCTAATTATATAAATTAATTTAAATTTTATTAATTTCGATTGAAATAAACCAATATTTCAATCGAAAGACCAATACTTCCTAAACTATATTTTGTAATGAACATGCTAAGAACTAGTTTAAAATTCAAATCTTTTTTCTATTATTAGCAGAACAAATTGTAACGTTAAGACAATTCTCAAGTTCAAGGCAACAAACTACTTTGACATTACTGGAGGCTTTGTCATCTTTATTGAGGTGAAATAAGACAGTAGACATTTTAGTTGAAACGGCAAGCTATTGGTGCATTGAAAACGACATTGGTCGAAAAATGTAAACCGTCCACTAATTGATAATTCGTTAACTGATATATTTTAAAATTCAATTTATTTAACAATATTAAAATTATCTTACGCTTCTGTTTACTATTTATATAATTTATACGGTAATATTTTAAAACAAATATAATAATAACACGGCTAGCTAGAAATTTGAATGTTCTTAAATGCTATACATATACGATATGTATGTTATTGCAAGATTAATTTTAGTCTTTTAATAATTACAATTAGAAAATATTTAATTGTATATAAACTCTCTTTTTGAGTCGTGTGGTCCCGGCATAGAAATAGACCACCGCTTTTTTTCCCGTGGGTATCGTAAGAGGCGACTAAGAGAGGGTGTTGGATGGGCAGCATTATCTCTCTCTCAAAACATCTCCAAAGCTTAACTGCGGTTACCAATCCGCATGCCAAGCGTGGCAACTACTGGAAAAACCCCCCAATGGAGAGGCTTATGCTCAGCAGTGGAGCGTTAAAGGCTGATATGGTGGTGGTTGTGGTGATGGTGATGATGATGATGATGATGATTATGATGATAAAACTCTCTTTTATACCGTTCTCTAATTATATATTCAAAATTAGAGGAATATTGCACTAGGCTTAGAGAACAATTTTAGAATAAAAGTTTAAATACACCAGAGAGTCCATTGTTTATTTTTATTCAATTCTGTTATCATTACTACCTAGATCTATTATATATTGTGTATAGTCAGACGCTACCACATTCCAGTAAAGTAAGTTTATTTTTTACCACCAACACAATAATATATAAAATATTTTTTCTAATATAAAATATACAGTATAAACTCTCTATAGTGAACTTCTATTTAATGAAAAACTAATTTTTTTAGGGTCTTTTTCAGATATATTAACCCTATCGTACCCTGAACTGATTTCTCAAATAAAGCTTTATCTACTTTTGCTAAAGAGAGGAATTAATGGGCATCAATAATTTACAGAGATGTTCATAAATTTCTAATTTGGGTTCAGCTAATATAGATTGAAAAAATTGCTAAGGTGTTTGGTTTACATTCTTACCCTTGTATTGAAACAGTATAATAATAATAAATAAATTTATTTCTTTATACAAAGTTAGTTATATTACAGGGTTTGGTATCTCCTGTTAAGCAAAGATTGCTTGTGTTAGGAGAAACCGCTCTTTCATAACAATAATTAAATTTCATAATCATTACAATTTACTTTTTTTTTAAATCAGCATTAAAAATTTTACTTTGTTTTACTTTTATACAATAATGCAAAAAAAATTGTATAGCGTTACAACTACTGTCAATAACGAAACAATACATCGTTATTTGGACCCCAATAAACTGTAGTTTCACTGACCTTGAAGGTCAGTACACAATACAGATAGAATCGTAAATATTTCTTTAAAAAAGAATCTTTTTAACGAAGATCCCACTATATCGCAAGACATGAATAAAAAACAACTGATAATAACGTTGTTATGTAATTTTTTTTTTTCACTTATTTTCTTTATGCAACTAAGAATGGCAAATAAGCTAACGGCCCACCTGATAGAAAGTGGTAACAATCGCCTATAGACATGAGCAGTACCATGGACATAACAGAGGAGTGTTTCGCGCATGATACCCCCATGCGTTGCCATTCCTGAGGACTGTATTTTTTTTTTCAAAATTAAAAGGTACTTATTTGTAAAATTATATTGTTTTTTTTTTACTCTCCGTCTACTCTACGAAAACTACAACGCATTAAAACACCCTGTACCTTCTATTTCGATTTTCTATAGTTATAGAATTGTCACTGTAAATAATATGTAACATTTTAGGACTTCATGTTGCTTTATAATTGATTAGTATGACATGCAAAATGCAATTATTGATCTTATTTCATTATATTGGAGGAGTACCTATTGAAATATATTAGTTTCTTTTTTTGACATTAATTTTGTATAACCATAAAATTATATAATCATAAGGCAATTAAACAGATGACAAAAGCTCTGTCACATGGCCTTTATTACGTTAAATGTCTGTTTAAAGCAAATAAATATTTTATTAATAATTATTTTTAAGCAAAGGATGACACAATTTTAACAAAATGCCCAGTTATAAACTCTGACAACTTGTTAATCACCCAATACTGAATACTTAATCTCTGCTTATAACATTGTTGTCTACTAACACCAAACAAAAACCCATTTATTCTTAAAGATGGCGGCAAAGAACACCTGTTATTGCACATTAGATACAAATATGCTCAGAGAAAAGTATGAATGTTACGTTGACACCAATAACGCTCAATAAAGGTACTGACTACCCCACCTGTGGATTACGTCGTAATGTATATATATAGCGTACAAATATTTACAAAATCAACAACACCAATATGCATAGGCCCGTATCAAATTAGATATTTCAAGTTACGGCACTGATAATGTTAAGTAAAGAGTCGATGATTCTCATTATGTAAGGATTAAATATTAGAAAGGCGGCAGCAAAGGTCACAACGGCTGTTTTGTACGAAAGTTGTAACGTCTTTGCGTATAACACAGTTCTTATTACGAGTCATCGGGTTAAGGCCATGATTGCAGGTGATTAGAGCAAAACAAACTCCTGAGCATGTCGGAATACAGTGTAATATCATTTATATATATATATATATATATATATATATATATATATATATATATATATATATATATATATATATATATATATATATATATATTTTTTGCAATTGTGATATACAACGTTATTGATTAACAGTGGCCAAAATAATTAGCTATCTTATGATTTGTTACACTTTTTTTTAATACTTTATTGTACACACCAATTATACATAAAAATATGACAGAGGTAATCAAATATACAAAGGCGAGATTAACTCTAAAAGAGTTCTCTTCCAGCAAACCCAAAGTGGAAAGGAGTATCAATGTTAGCGGCTAGAGCGGTGTAAAATATTGTGAAAATTTTCAAACAAAGAACTTTATTTTATGAAAAACATAGGCTTGGGAGAGGCCAAATGAGTCGTGCCCACCCGGGATGCGAACAAAGCTTCACAAAGACATGACTGAGAATACATATACGCATATATGGTAGTAAACAAACGAACAATTGAGCCGTCCATATGACAGTCTACTGATATCCAATAATAATAGAAATAAAAAACCGATTAATTGATTCAATGTTTCCATTTATCACTAATTACATTTAGAGAATATTTCCGTCACATAATTTCAACAAAATTTGGTTATGTATTTTGTTGTTGTAGTCAAATAAACTATAAAAATGTTTATTGCATACATTAATATGCAATAAAACATTAAGAAATTATTAAATTTCTTAATATTTTGACTTTATATTAACAAATTAGATAAAAAAAAAACAAAATTGTTTACTAATTGAGCCACGTGTCGATTATAGAGCAAGATATGCATGATGTTAAATGACTAACAAGATATAGAAAAATCGTACGATCTTTTATTTTATTTGCAAACGTTATGAATAAGGGTAAAAATATCACGATGCCAATAAACTGTGGGAAGGAATACTTGACTGTTAATCAAATTTCAGATCAACGTGAAATATAATCACTAATTGCTATGACACGCTCTATTATAGTTTTACCAGTAGTTGCCACGTTTGGCATTCGGGTTGGTAAACGCGGTTAGGCTTTGGTAATGTTTTACGACGGACGCTGCTGCCCATCCCTCTAGTATTAAGTTCCCTTAGTCGCTTCTACGACACCCACGGGAAAAGAAGGGGTGACCCATTCTAAGCCGAGAACACACGTTGATTTGTTACATATAAA